CTGCTGCTGCGACGGTCCCTGACCTTGCGGCTGCAATCCCAGCGTTGTTGAGTCAAGCGTAAAGGTTCCAATGGTCGGAAATGTAGTCGGGATTCCCAAGTTGCGAATCTCATTAATGTTGAAATAATAGCCATCGCATGGCAAGTTGTCATAGATTTCTAAAGAGTTAATGTTAAAGAAAAACATTATTAGTAGACTAAAATGTTATCTGAAAAAGTCTATTTACTAATTTGGGATATAAAAAAATGAAAGCTAAAATCAGAAAACAAATGAAATAAATAAAAAAAGGAGCTTGAAGCTTACATAAAATTTGTGTAAATAAGGGAACCAATTCCCAACTTACCTTCGCCGGTGCGGTACACTTTAGATTGGGTATTCATGTTGAATTGATTGATTGGATATTAACAAACAAAGAGAAATGCTGATAAGGACTAGCAAATTGGAGATTGGTTCTTGGCGATGGTGATTGCAATTGCGATATTATTGGTATTGGGCGGTCAGTGGTATGACCCGATAAACCGATCCGATAATGGATGCGAATGACGAGAACGTTTGGAACGAGAGTTGAAATTGAAGAAAGCGCGAAAAATTACCGAAAACAGATTTGTTGATCTCACTTTTGTTTTTAATGTTTATTTTTTTTTTTAGACTTTTTCGTGTTTTTTTTATATCAAAGAGAAAAAAACTAAGCAATAAATACGTATTTGTTTTTTTTTTATTTTTTGTTTTTTGTGTATATATATTTTGGCTAAACACTGGCACAAGAGGCACTGAAATTCCTTGTCTTCGAAGTTAATAAAAATTTTTGTCTTTTCTTGAGGGCATGCCCCGCAAAAAAAATGGTTGTTTTTCTTAGCTTTTCTTTACTGTTGGTTTGTTTTTGTGTTTCTTGTTGTGTTTTTTTTATTTTTTTTTGTTTGTAAAAAATGCCGACAAATATTGTAACGTTGTTGGTTTGTTTTGGTAGTTTGAAGTTCCTTCCTGGGTCTGTTGTTGGTTTTTTCTAAAGTTTTTTGTAATATATATTTATTTATTTATTTTTTTTGCTCGTTTTGTGTATTCAAAATATTGTTGTTTTACGATGAAAATGCATACCAGCTGCTGCCGTTGGTGTTTTTTGTTCGAGTTTTGAATTATTATTGAATTATTGCATTTTCTTTGAAATGATTTTGGTTGATTTTTTTTTATATTTTTACTTTAGTTTTACTAGAAAAATACACTGGGAATACTTTTTACTTTTGGGTTAGATTAGCTTTTTTTGATATTTGAATATTTTGTGTGTTTTGCTTGATTATATTGTTTTTTGTTTTCTATATAGTATACATATATATAATATATATTTTGTAGGCAATCGTTGTGGTTTATAGGAAGTAGTAGTGATTTATTTTTAATTTACTTTCGAATACCCTTAGTACAACGATGATTTTTGGGGACGAGGTTCGAATCTCTTTCTTCTTCTCCTGATGCTACTTCTTCTTCCTCGCAGGACTTCCGTTTCCGGTTCCTTCCTCTTGCTCTCCTTCAATCTTTCCTTCAGTGTCGATTTCCTATTTTGTTTCGCTGTACGTTGCTATTACTTTTCAGTTGCACGATTTGTATATTTTTGTTTGTTATTTTTGTTGCTGTGTTATTGCTGTTTCATTTACTATTCACTAAGCAAAAATTATGAGTTTTAAGGTTTTTCTTGTTTTATATTTTAATATATAATAGATATAGGACACCCGTTATGTGGAGTTATCCTCGCTCATTTACTATGTTGAACTTTAAGCCTACGATTTACTTTGTTTTGTTTAAATATATATATATTTTTTGAATGCGTTTTGAAGTCTTTTTATAACCTAGGGTTTTTATGTTTGCTTTGTGTTGGTTGGTTTTGTTATTTTTCACTTATTCCTTTGTTTTGTTTTTTTGTTTTCTCGGTTCACGCTTACTAGATTTAAGCTTAGTTTAATAGTTTATATAATATAATATATAATATACTATAGTATATATGTATCGAAGTCCTTTAAGATATCACGAATTTGTTTCAATGTTTTTTATCTTTTCATTTGCATTTGCTCTTAAGTGTAAAGTTGTTGTTGTTGGTTTAAGATGTTTTTTTTCTGTTCTCTGCTTCCTCTTTCGCTCCTTCTTCTTTGCCTATTGTTAAAAATTACGGGTTTTTCCTTTCATTCCATTAGAGATTTTTTGTGGTTTTTCTTTGCGTTTTTCCTTTTTGTTTATTTAAATTTATAAATTTACAGTAATTATCACAGAGTTGTTAAATCTTTCTTTGAATTTGTTTTGTTTTTTTCTCCGTTTTACCTCCGTTTGTTGCAGTTGCTTTTGCTGTTTTAGACTTTTAACATTTCTCACTAGGTACACTTATAAAAAAAACTGAATTGAAAACTAGTAAAAAACAATGTTTTATTGGAAAAAACTAAAAACTGTTTGTTTGGCACAAGGCCGCAGCTTTGAATTTGTTATGTGTTCTTTATGTATATATTTTCTTAATCCGTTTATCTTTCACTAATTTATTGTTTTTAGTTTTTAATTTTATTGGCTAAGTTAAATTGCTGGTGTTGTTGTTGTAGGTCTGTGTAAAACGTGACTTAAAACTTATAGAATTCTTGTAGATTTTTGGTTTTAAATGTTTTCTTTATTGTTACCGTTATTTTTAGTATATATTATTTATTCACACTTTTTGCGGCACAATTGTTGCTTAATCGGTTTTAATCTTCTCCTCTGCTTCTCCCTCCTTTGATCTCTCTGTCTCTCACTTCCTTTTCGCCCTTTTGGGCCTTTATCAATTTATAACTTTCGACTTAAGTTCTAGCAGTTTTTTTTTTGTTTATTTTTAGTAGAATAATTTAGATTGATGTTGCGTTTTAAATTAAATCGTTTTTAATATGTTTAAATTATTTGTTGTTGATTTACTCCCGGTTATTTTGTACTTTAAAACATTAATTCAGTTGTTTGTTGTTGGTTGGTTGTTGTTTGTTTGTTGTTGCTGCTGCTTTTTTAGCTCGGTTGCTGTTGTTTTTTTGTCTTAATTTAAATTAATTAGCAAATTGAATTCACTTTGACTTAACAACAAAAAATTCGTAATTAAATTAAAGCTTTTCAGGAAAAATAATGAGGAATTTTGGGATTGATTTTTTAGCGCTTTTCAAAGTGTATTTTTTTTTCGGTTTTGTTTTTTGTTTTTTTTTTTTTTGTATTCGAGAGCTCGTACGCCGTAGCGCCTTTGCCTTTATTTTCCCGTTAGTTTCATTTCCCGTTGCCTTTTTGTTTTCAGTGCTTTTGCCGTTTTCTTTTTGAACTCCGTTTTACTTGCTCCTTCGTAGTTTGCTTTTTATTATTTTAGCTTTTCTTTTAATTTTTTATTTGTTGGTGCTTTTGAGTATTGACGAGTTAATTTCACAGCGTTTCAATTTGTTTGGTTTGTTGTTGTTGTTGTTGGTTTTGTTGTTTTATTTGAAAGTCTTCGTTTCAAGCTTGGCTTGTTTTTTGTTTGTTGTTTTGTTTTATTTTATTTGCGCAGTCGCTTTATCTCCCTCTCTCTGTCTTTCTGTCTCGCTCACACCCACGGGCGGCGTAAAAATTCTCGTTTTTTCCGTTTTGTGTGTTTTTTCTTTGCAAAGCAAACGAAACAAAAACAAAGAAGAGTCCAAAAAACTTAAAAAGTTTTTGCTTTGACTTTTTTCTTTTGAGCTATGTTGTTGTTGGTTTTTTATGTATTTTTGCTGTAACTTTCAATTATATGCGATTTATATTTTGTATTTGTTATTTTTTGATTCGTTTTCGATGGTTTTTTTTTTATTTTTATATCATTATTTTTGTTGTATTTTATATTATTATTATTTGTATTCAGATTATGATGAAAGTGATGTCAAAACGGAGTTTTAGTTACAAAAGCTGTGGAATAATAAAAAGAGAAAGGTGGAAACGATTAGGAAAAATCTTAATTTTTGTGTCTTTTTTTTTTGGCTGGTGAAATCTACACCAAAAGTCTTGCTGCAGTTTTATCGATTTTTCAGTGTTGCAAATGGAGAGATTTTTGCCTGCCGGAAAAAATTGCACAAACACATGCTCAAACCTACTACGCACACACACTCATGCTCAGCATCATACACACGCATACGCAATTGCAATTGTAAACTATTTTTACTCATTATTGTTGTGGTTTTTTGCGTAAAATTAGCAAGCGAGCCGACTGTACACACACATGTACAACCACCCGACTGCCAAGTTGGTAAAAAAAAAAGTTTTTTTCCTCAACTTTTTTTTCAGGCTGAAAATTTTGGTACACCTCGCACGCACACACACACAGGCACAAGAAAACTGGCAGGCCCTAGTGAAAAAACCTCATTTGGCCATTAAAAACCTTGTTTTTCTGACACTTTTTATTTTTAACCACCACAGCTTGATTTACGGCACATTTTATCCATATTTTTATTGTGAATTTGAGTTAAATAATAGTCCTATTTGAAGAGAAAAAGAATTTTCTGGACCAGCCACACGTACCACACGACAGCACAACAACTGCTTAGCGGACGCCATATTTGCCGACATCGCGATGAGAGTGTTGGAAAACGCGCGAAGTTCCAGGCAATTGTGACGTCACTTGCCATGGGTGTAGGCGTTTATAAGAAATAAATTCTTAATAATAAAGATAAATATAAGATATATTCTAATTATTCAGTTTCTTTAATACACAGGCATAGTGAAATTTAAAGAACAGAAAAGTTCGCTTTGGCAAAAGCTTTTTGAGGTTTTTTATACAATATTTTTATTATATTATTACCTGGTATCACTAACTTTCAAATTTAAGTTCAGTGATAAGAGCGTGTAAAACATTTATACACGATATGACGATCTTATAAATGGGGGAAATGACATTATACTATTTTTTGCTGCAACATGTGTCTAGTTTGTGACTTGTGGCGGGTATATCATATCTCCCTTCCCTTCTCAAGTTATTGTTTAAAATAAGGAAATAAAAATAAATCAAACCTTTATAGGGTTTTTAACGAGTTTTTATTTACGGCAACCTAAGCAGGTTGCTGGGGGCATAATCCGTAGTTAACTTAAATGTATGATGTTATAATGGTCACCAATATTTTGGTAATTTGGTTATCATTGATCAGTTTTTATAATATTAAATTTACAAAATCTAGTTAATGGTTCACGGTGCCTTTTATACATTTGACAGTGCTAAGTGTTATAAACTTGAATATATTATCAAAACGCCCTTGCTAAATACGTCTTTGGGCTAATTTTAGTCAAAAAGGTTTAATATCTTGCTTCGGTTAATGCATAAATGTTTATGCTACGAGCACCTCGATTTGGTCGTACATTAAATTGCATCTGGTTTTGCATACTTTTGGGTAAATTAATTTCCTGGTTTTCACAATGTCTCTATACACATTTAAAAGGAGGTCTATAGCTTGGTCTCTGTGTATATCGGAGGATATATATCTTTAGTATAGGTATTTTTGTAAAGTTAATTTGTATATGGTGCAGTTTCTAGGAAATGTATATGTATGTACAGTGCAATTTTAAATTTTAAAACCATTTAAATTGAGGGGAGACATCGTATTGATTAATAATTGAAAGCGTCTTTCTGTTTATGAATTACAAATTATTTACTATATAAATGTCATTAAATTGACTCCGTTGATGCATTGCTAAATGCATAAAACGTAATACATTATGAAAGCGTTTAGGTTTCAAAACAAAAACAACTTTTCCATTTTACTTAATGACAAACTGCAAATATTTGTTAATCTTAAGGGGAAAGTCAAGATATTGTGACATAACATGGTCTTGAATATCATTAAAAAAGTCAAGAACTCCTGGCAGTTTGCCCACTCACGTGTATTACATACTTGACAATTTCGGACACGGTTAATTTACAAATGTTAAGTACAAACAAGCAAAACTGAAACCGAAACCTAAATGTAAATGCTCAATGAGTTTCACATACACAATTGGTTGCTATGTAGGTAATAACTAACGTTACATATTATTCCTTTTTCGTTTACTTAAGAACTATGTAATTATCTGCAATTAACTAAGAAAACAAGTTGCGGCAAGGCGAGAATTTGGTTTCCAGTTTAGGGCTTGCTGTCGAAGCCAGCAAAGTCCGATGCCTCCGACTCATCCTCATCCCTTTCTACGCCGATGCAATGGATCCCGGTTCGCAACATGGGCGTTCCCTTGCCCTTTCCCAAGACCCGAGCGGCGATTACCAGCTGCAGCAGCTCCTTGGCATTGGTCGAGCTGACGATGTGTAGGACTTCGCGCAGCAGCTTCTCCTTGTATGCAAAGAATTCGATTTTCATCTCGAAAAAGTCATGTTCATCATGCTTGGTGCCCGCGAACTCAGTGATCTTGCAGTGCAGACTCGGCGTGGCACTGACCACCGGCTCAAATTTGCTGCCCAGCGACCCCGCGCTGCCAAACAGCGAGGTTGGGAGCTTCAGTTCAATCAGGTAGCGATGATTGATTTGTAGAAAACCCAGGCTCACGACAATCGTGTCGCCCGACCTTTGATATGTCACACAACTATCCGACTCGAAGTCATCTTTCACCGTGTTCGTGTCGAAGTGCACATGGTGGTCTGAAATGAGGAAGGTTTAATATCTGATAGTTTTAAATTATAGGAGTTGGATCAGAATGACTAGATATATAATATATTACTATATTCAACAGTCATGCTGACTTTTTACAAAAAACAAAGCAAAGATTTCCCTCTCCAGCAGCGCTTTCTATGTTATCTGAATCTTTGCGATTTATAAGTTTACACAGAATTTAATTGAAAATCTTATTTGTTGAACAAGCTGAATGGATGAATTAAAAACTGTGTTCCTCGAAGCCAAAGGTCGGCAAGGTAGACAGGTGAAATCGACTAAAATTGCCGTAATAAACATAAGTATTCCGAGATAAACAAACAAGCAAACAGAAGTCTCGGCCCCGCCTCGGGTAAATTTTCCCCCAGCGGTATTTGCAACGGAAATTGCGTGTAAGCGTGTAATTAAACGCCCCTACCGCTTCCGTTCCCTGTTCCTTACACAGTGAAAAATAAAGCTATTTTAACTGGCATTATCTGTAAGATATTGTCCTTGTAATTTGATAGCTTTATTATATATCTATGGAAATTAAAAATAAATATTTGGTACTTTTTATACTTGAAATGAAATGATTTTATTTTTTTAAGAAATATTCCTTGTGTATGAAGTTACGTTTGAATGGGTAATTGGAGAGCTGGGCAGTCTTAGGGCTTAAATCACATTAAAATTGGGTCAATTGGGACCAAGTGCACTGGCTGTTCTTTTGAGATTTGAAGCGTCAAGTTTTGCGCTGACATTCGCACTCTGGGGAGCCAATTGGGCTATGTGAAATATAATTTATAAATGAAAACCTTTCGTCGGATTTTTATTGATGCTAGCACATGCCGATTGTGCGGTAACAATAATGAAAGAGCAAAGCATTTGGTTGAAAAGTGTGGAAAATTATATACTTTGGCTGTCTATTAAATATATAAAAAATAAAATTATTTAATAGTCTTCTCGTTTTTCTGTGCAATTAACAAATCGCTGACAAATGTTTTTAGCAGCTATAAAAATGTGACATCTAAACGAGCTTCTAATCAGAATTCTAATCACAATCGAGCAATGCCCTGAGATATCTAAAAAGTCGCCTAGTTAATCATAGGCGATTGCCTCAGATATTGTTCGGCATATTTCATGGCCCCGAAAAAGTCGAGTCTATGTTAAAAATAGACCCCTTGACTAGTTGGTCATGGCAGTGGCATCGGCAATTGTGGCAAAAGTTTCTTCTTTTCAGCAAAACATTTCCACATGAATGTAGAAATTTGGACAGTGCGTTTCAAAAACTTAAAATATATATGATGTATAGATTGGAATATGTGTTAATAGATTGATAGATTGGCTACTTGGATAATGTCTTTTCCTCTCTCTTTTGCATTTCAGCATTATAATTATATTTATTGAGTATCAGCTTTCTTCCACAGCTTACCTAACTTTTTGGGAAGTGTTGTATCTTTTGTTTTCCGTTTTCAAATAGATATTTTTCTATGTTCTATTGTCGCAATCATTGGAATGTTGATATTTTATTTTCCTTCTTTTCTTGACCAATTTTTCTGTTTTCTGTTGTTTATTTTGGCCGAATGCCCGCTCAGCAGAACGTAATAATTCAATTTTGCACTTTAATTTGCAGGAAATGTGGGCATGATTTTTATTTGTTATTTATTTCATTTCATTTTTTATGTGTAAACGCAGACGAATGCGAAATTAAAGCAATTTTCCGGTCGCTCCTTTGCCATTTTACAGTATGTAAGCAATTTATTGTAATCCAGCTTAATCTGCTTTAAAGTCGCTTCAACAATGGAGGCAACAACAACCACAATGTTTCGTAATTGCCCCAAAGTGTCGCGGGAGAAAAGTCGCTTGTTCTTTTTATAAATTTCATTTAGAGTCATGCGCCACACTCAGAAATCCGGATGTCTGTGACCGGGGGGATCTCACGTACCCCCTTTCAATCACCATTGATTAACCATTAATGGAAATTCACAATCGACAGGCCTCGGCAACAAGCAACTGTTATTGCTAGAAATTCAAATTTGTGTAGACAATTTTTGGGATTTCATTTCTCTATGGCATTGCCGCAATAGGTTCAATTTTTGTATACAGATAAACTATGAGATGCATATCTGACAGATTGTCTTCCAATTGAATTCTTGTTGGCTTTCTCTGGGCATTTCAATTGGTTCGTTTACTCAAATATATTCTAATTTAATGTCTGGAAATGGGTGGCTTGACAACCCGTGAAGATCTTTATGAAGTTCTAATTATGATCTTGGTATGTGCATATCGTTAAAAAGGTTGGGTTTATTGATTTAACTAATTAATAATATATTAAGTATCTTTTAAAGAACCAACCAATATTACAATTCACAACTTTGAGGCCATAAGAAGTTCTCACTGAATTATTTTTGATCATGTTTGCCAAATTTCTCAAGTGCCTATTAGCCTTTGTCCAGTTTTTCCAAATTGTATAATATTTCCCTCTCAAATTGAATGTATTTTTTATTGTTAGACGGGGCGGTACTTGTGGGTCTGCACCATAACTAATGCAGGTGCTTCCCTATGGGGGATGCCATAAAAAGGCATCCATTGGCCGTACGTGCCAAATTGAATATAGAATATAGGAAATGCAAAAGGCATGGGGGCAATACACAAAGCCAAAACCAAAAACAAAAACTGCAAACATGCATAACAATATTATAAATTGTGTTTTTCAGATTCTCAAATCAAAACAATTGAAAAGGTGTCCGTGTCCCAACGAGACAAATATCAATCACGAACGAACACCCCATGGGCTGGGTGGATTTGGGTGGTCAAAAGGGGGTGTGAATAGTAGTAGTAGTACCCCCAAAGCGGGTGCTCCCTCATGCAACAAATACAACGAGGCCAAACAACGTGCCCGTTGCTTTCCCAGACTCTATAAATAGACCAACTCATGAGGATTGCACAATTGCATATCACCTTATAGAAAACAATAATAAAAAAAAAAACAAAAAACCTGCAACAATGGAAACCTCTGGTGGCGGTCAGGTTATATGTATATAGATATGCAATTTAATTAGCCCAATGGAAGGGGATCGTTGTCATCATTATTGTGACTGTTATTGTTGTTGCTGGTGGTTCTGGGGTGCAGAAACTATAATCTCCGGACGGGCGCTAAATGAATTTACAATTAGCATTGCTCATGCAAACGCTTGGCAAATATTATCAAACGCTAACTCACGACAATTTGCATGGTTTAGCGATAAAGTATAGGAGAAAGATTTTTTAAATGCTCTACAAATAACCACGTTTAGGCAAAAAACAATTAAACAGCACGTAAAGGAATTTTGACGTTTATTGAGTTAAAATAAGGCTTTTACCTAAGATGTTTTTAAGCTTAATTAATATTTTTAAGGGTGCTAATACCCCTCTTTTTAACTAACTCATACAGAATTATTACCCTATAATATATCGAAAATGACCGCCACTTGAAACTGCTTTCAAAAAGCCAAGATAAACTCTAATTGATGAAAGTGTGTATATACAGAAATGGAAACTATTTTCGTTTTCCATGTGTTTATGAGGCACAATTCATTAACTTCTGTCAGAGATCATAAATTAAAATTAATCTAAGACAATTTAAGAACGCTTTCAACAGGCTCAACTGCCATTGATAAAACTTGTGGTCGAGCGCCGTTTGAAAAGATAAGAAAGCCCATTTAAGTCACGCGAATTGTGATAAACGCGGTAATATGGAAATGGAAATGAAAATCATCGATTCTGCCGGCAAATGTCAAATGATTTGTGCAAGGGCAGCAAAGTAGGATGTGTGGTAAGGTGGGGAAAATTGGCTTAGCTTTGGCCGTGAACAAATATTATTTTTAATATTGCGGCAGAAAAGCAGGAAGAGGTCAAGAAATAACAATAAGTAGGAAAGGAAACGGGGAGAATAGGAAATGTGTGAAGTGGACAGGAAGGAAATAGCCAAACACTCGTGCACATGTTGCACTTAGCAACCTTTAATTTTTACTCATTCATGACACTTATTACAAAATATTTTTTATGTTCGGAAACTAAAATCGGAATTTCGGTAAACAAAGATGACTGATTTAAAAAGAATTATTTTAATAAACAAAATGATTTAATTAAAAATATATATATATATATATATATATATCCGCAGTGATTTTCATATTTATTTTTCACATTCATTTAAATCTTGAACTGTATTGTACAATTTATCTCAGTGTAAGTCAACACGACTGTGTATGGCCAAAATGCAGCTGTCCTGAATCCCAGAAAAGGTCAACAGGAAACGATTTTTCTTGAGTTGCCTGACTTGCCTAAATTTAGTCGACATTTCCCTAATTTCTAATTAAACAGAATTATTCGCCAAACTCAACCGCTATTACTCCGTTTTAACCCCCGTTTACCTTACCAACATAGAAAAGCTCAGACCACAGTTTTTGGCTTAATGATATTTTAAGGCACTGAAAGAGGTTCTATACAAATATTAGAGCGCCACTTTAATGGCTATGCAAATGACTTGAGTAAACAGCGGGACGAAATGAATTTTTACCTTGATGCTCCACATTTTCGTTGGCGGCTTCGGCGCTCATTTTTAATGCCCCAAAAATTTGCAGCTCCGGCTGTTAATTATTTTTGGTGGGAGAGTTAAATGCCAACTTTTTCCTTTCAATCGGAATTTTAAGGAACCAAACGACGCGCTTTTTTCGTAAGTTTTGAAATATTTTTAGCAGCGAAAATTGATTTAAATCAGTTTCCAACAACGTCGAATAACAAAATAAACAATCGCTTGAGTAGGGTGACCAGCTTTGCAGGAATATCGATATGAGAAAAATTGTTATCGAACATACTAATATACTAATCTTAGATACTGAGCAACACATCATATATACCAACAATATTATTGTACTTAAAAAACTGAATTAAATAAGCTTTTGATACAAATTTATTTTAATAGATTGTATATTAAAAGTAGCATACAACAATATATGGAAAAGAAGTATAAAACAATAAATATTGCCACTTTTGATCACAAACAGAAGCTGCTTGCTATGTAAGTACTGCTGGCATATTTAGTAACAAAAAACGACAATGTTACCATCATTTCGTAGTCAGCATTGCCAGACCGCGTAAAGTATATATTTTTACAAAATGGTGGCTTCTTCGCGGAGAAATTCGTAGTGGCGATTATTAACAAAAAGCACGCATTTTGGCCAGCGAAATATTGCAAATTGTTGGCGAAAATACTCGCAACGACGCTGGCTGCGGCGTCCAACTGGAAAACTCGCGGAAAAGCAACCAAAAAACGCGCAAGAACCTTGTGAAAATAACTGAAAGCGAAGGCAGGCAATAAAAAAACGCAAGCAACCAAAGTGCGTGCCTGTGTGTGTTTGTGTAAGTGTGTGTCTGTGTGCGCTGCTCTCTGTCTGTGCCTGTGTGTGTGCGTGTGAGTGTGTCTCTCTGTTAGTGTGTGTGTGTGCGCAAAGTGTATGCAAAAAAGAAGAAGAGAAACGGAGAAGAGCGTTAAAAAAAAAGCGTACGACGAGTTTCACGCGCCCAACAACAAAAACACAAAAAACAGCAGCAGCCACAACAACAAATACAACAACTACACTTGGCAGCGGCAGCAATAAAAATAACAAACAGCAGCAGTAAAATGTAAGGAAAAATCTACAAGTGTGCGAAAATTAATTATTACTAAGTGTGTCACTAATTTAATTTGAAATCGCAGTTGCGCAGCGTGCAAATCATTCAAATTTATGTGACGTCTCTAAAGTAAAAAACGAAAAGAAAAAACAACGGTAAAACAGGAGAAAAAAAGAGAAACAGTGGCGTACCCCCTCAATTTGCAAAGGGGTCGGGTCGGGCTGTTGAATCCAGTCTATTATGAACTTTTTGGGGTAGAACAATGCAAACACGAACGAAGGCTCAACAAATTTGGTGAAAAGGAATCGCAAGCGCAGCAGCAGCAACAACAAAGCAAAATCCAAGCGTCAGCAGCAAAGGCAACAAATATAAAAGCAACAACAGCAACCCACCACCGTTGTTGTCCCTTAGTTGTTGTTGTTATCGTCGGCGTTACCACCGACGCGACGCAACGCTCTTGCGGCCAGCGCACCCACCACCCCCCAAAGGATGCTCCTGCCTGATCCCCTCCCTCTATCCTACTTACTACGCCACTGTCCTCATGACCGCTCCTGCTGCTTGTGCTTGTTCTTATTCAACTGCTGCTGCTGCTGACGTTGTCAGAAAAATGTGTCTTGCTGCCTTTTTGTTGGCTGATAAATTAAGCTGAAATTCTTACTTGTTACGATAGAGTGTTCAGATAATATATACATTCAGTAAAGTTAAATTATATTAAACATAAAAATCCTGTTTAATGCAGTCAAATTTCCCAAATATAACTCTTTTATAAGTTTAAATATTTTTATTCGCCATAAACTGCAAATTCTATAGGTCTATTTAAATCTAAACTTATGGAAGTTCCAATATAGAGTTTATTTAATACCCGTTTGTTCATTTATGCTGAAAAGTTGGTTTAATCCCTGGCAATTACAGATTTTTTATTAGCTCATTGATCATGGGAAAATGTTTAATAAAGAAAACTAACATTGGTGTTTCTTAGACTACTTTATAAAGAATTTTTTTCGTCAGTAAAAATAAAATTTTAATTTAAAACTTTGTAATTTACATTCCACCATTTTTGACCGTTTTTTTTTTTGTTACGGTTGCATTGTTTTTCGCAGGGGCGTTTTCTTCCGCCCCCACCTGCTCAATTCTTCTTGTTTGGTTCGCTTTCTTTCTTTGCTTAATCATCTCGGTTGTCTCGAGTCTCACCTACGTCATCTCTTCGCCTTCCAGCTGTGTTTGTGCAAATTAACCAAAATATACATTTCCGGCTACTCACGGCCCCCTCGCTGAGCAACAACAACATCAACGATATCAAGAACAACAGGAGCAGAACAACAACAACAACAACAACAACAGCAGCCAAGACCGCCCACCCTCTTCCGCATCCATTAACCCAGCCCAACATAATCATCATCAACAGCATCATCAACTGGAGTCTGGAATCTGGAGACGGATACCATAGACCGGAGTTACTTTGCCGCCTGCTGCTGGAGAGAGGAGCTTCTTCGGTAGGAACGCCTCGACGAAATACAACCCCGACCCCGGATTCATGGTGAGCCAAGACATCTGTTCGACCGGGCATACATTTAATTATAATTATTTGTTTGCTTAATTCGATACTCCATACCCTGTGGCCCCCTCGTCTCATGTGTCACAACCCCTGTTGTTCGCTTGGGAAAGGGTTTTTCCCTCTAAGGGCTAATGGAGGAAACTATTTTTCAAAGAGGATCCCAAATCAATTAGAAAACTGGGGGCGTGTGCCCTATAATCCGTTGCTATTGTTGGCCATATTCGGTTTTCTATTGCTCATATTTTGTCTGGCTTTTAGGGAAATACGATTATTTCAGAGATAAGGCTTACACATAGCCAAATAAACTAGATCTTTATCGCCGCTATTATAGATTGCTAATGAGCTGCCTTGTAGGGCAATTAATGTTCCCCAGTTTGGAATGGAAAATGTTGACCGAGATGAATCAGTTGAGAAATTCTATAATGTTATTGCGGGGGCTTGTAGGAACAAGTGTTTTCCATAATTTTCCACTTGTTAATATGGCACAGGAATTTACAAAACAGTTTTAAATCACTAATTATAGTGGTGTTACATAAATTTATGGCTCAGCAAAATATTTTAGCAATAAAAGAAATTTTAAAGGCGTAGTAAAACAAAAACTGATTAGAAATGTTTTTAAGAGCTTTTTTAAATACAAATCTTAAAAGTGTGGTATTTATATGGTTTGTGTTCGAGAAGTACTTCAAGATACTTAACCCAATTCTAGTTTAATACCCTTTATTCTACCTATAGTTACTTTGTTATTGTAGGCCTCTTTACTTAAATATTATTGTACAGGCTTAAATCAGTGGTAATGAGGGATTACCAGTCATATGATACCCGCATTTACTCATTGTTAACTCAGGGATTTACGTAGCTTGTTATCTGTTCTAATGAAGTGCCTTCTTTACCTTTAACCTGCTTTTAGCCAAGTCAGTTAGTTCTTGGAAAATGGAGATTGATTTCGAGGAAATTCCCAGACAATTTGCACCGCTGCTCAAAGTGCTTATCTTCTTTGCTCGAACCGCCCATTTCCACATTTTCTTTTGCTTAGCACGCCCGCTTATCTCCACCCGCCCAAAACCACGAAAAAGTGCGGCGGCAAGGCCATCTGATTAGAGACGCATTAAAAGGCTAGAGTGTTTAATTAAAAAATAACGTGCTAATAATGCATTTAATAAAAAAAAAAAGCGAAACGAACGCCGAAAACGGAAACTTCGGACGCAGAAATAACACGAATATTTCTGAAATACAAATACCAAAAGAAGAAACATAAAATGCTGTTGAGAAATGGATGAGTTCCCTTGCGGTTTTCCTGCTCTTCTGGTTTGGGTTGGTTCGGTTTTTGTATTTTGTGTTGAACGTTTTATTATATATTTTTTTTATATTTGGTATCTGGTATATTACACAGTTTCTGCTGCTAGCCTTTGATGTCGGGGTTTTTGTGCGCGCTTTCATATTTTATTATTAGTCATTTGGCTTATTTATAAGGTGCCGTTAAAGTTTAACTTTTATTAATCTGCTTTGTTGCGCTTTTAATTTATAAGTGCTGCTTATCTGATTGAATAGTCCGTCCGTCTATCCGCGCACACTTGACTCGAGTGTGCCGATTTATTGATGTCGATTAGAAGTAAACGAAAGGTTTCCCCCTGTTTAAACCTCTTGTTTCTCCCCATTTCCTTTTTGCTCTGCTGTCCATTACATAAGCGAATTAATTAGCATTGCTGACTGGGCAGTCAAGCGGCTTGATCTAAGCCATCCCCTCGACTAAAGCTGCTTCGAAGTACTGTGGAAACCTTGGCCCTAGAGGTGTGTACGTGAGATAAACTCGTGCGGTGCTAAGTGGTAAATGAAAGTGTAAACACAGGGAATTTTGTTAGACCTAAACTTGATAACTGCCAAATATAGTTGGGGTGTTAATTGAGATAGACTAGACATTTATCTTGTGGTTTTTGGATGTGAAATGTAAATCTTGGGATCAAAGGATCTAAGTTATTTGTTGCTACAAAACTATTTAATAATTGAGGCATTGTATTATTTCAAGTAGTATACTTACCAAATATCTGCTTACCCTAGAAAAAATATTCTTCAAATCTATCTTTAAAATGATATACTCGACATCTCGTCACGATGTCATCGTTAGCCAAGCACTGGCAGTGCTAAATCAATTCCAGTTACTGTTTCAGTTACGTGTTAACTCCATTTAGCGATAAGATAATTAGCACACACAAAGTGCTTATTAAAATATACAATGGCGAGTGATGTATTTGTGGCTGTATGCCAGCGAATTATTATTATTTATTCTTTATTTATATAGCGAGAACAAAAATATGAATAATTAAGCTCGTGTTAATCAGTGTAAAATCAATGAACAGACCGAAATGGGTGAGAATATAATGCAAAAGCGTGTTAAATGGGCCCATAAATCTTTGGCGTTGTGTGTAATTCTATTAGCTGAGCGGAATAATACGCGGTAAGAGTGGGTGGGAGGCACATGCAAAGAGCTCATTTACAAACATACATATAGCCACTCGTGCAATGGCAAACAAACAAATAACGACAGTTCCATAAACACTAGGAAAAAAGGGACAACGACGTGGAATGAAAAGGAATAAAAAAGGAAAAAAATAATAACAAAAAGGCCAGACACAAGGCACCCCGCGCACATCCTGTCGCCTCCAGACAAGACACATCTCGACATAAGTAACACGAAACAATTTCCAAATGAAGCGCGGATAAGCCGCAAAATCCTTAAAATACTCGATAAAATTACATAAAACTAATCGCACAGGCACACGCACACACACCAAGCCGCAGACTACAGAATTGGCTGGATACTCTTAGGGCGGAATAAGGGGAGGTTGAGTATGAGGATGGGGATGATGAAAATGAGGATGAGGATGAAGCGGAGGACGGCGTGCAAAATGATGAAGGTATCTACACCGACAATCTGTTTAACAACTTCATGAGCAAATCCAACAAATCGTATGAAACGAAGCCGACAGCAAGCCAACAGACACGAGCGGACGTCGTATTACGATTCGGATTCGGATTCAGATTCGGTTTCGGATGCAGACGACCCCAGTTCGGATCGGTTCAGTTCGCATCGGATCGGGCCAATGAATTTGCACCTGGGGTGGACCTTGAATTCAGGGTTTATGATTGTCATAAAACAAGAAATAAGTAGGCTAAATAATGTATTATTGCAATGCCAGACCAGACAATGATAAAATTTTAAAAGTTCTTGAGTTATTTTTAGAGTAGCAGTTATATCGTAAATAGTTCGGTTATTTCGATAACTTAACATTCATAATGTTTATGTTGAGACAACGAATTTTTTTACTCACTTAGTTTAGGAAATTCTTGATAAAAGAAGTAGATGTGCCAATGAGCCAAGAATCATCTAACCGTAACTAATGAAAAGTGATTGGTTCTGCCCTGAAACACCTGTACAGCCAAGGTTTTTGTACGCATTTTTACGAAGAAGGTTGTATATTTCCTAAATATTTTTTAAAAATGGTAAATTTTGGACTAGATCTTAAAGAAGGTCCACCCTAGAGCGCACAGGTTAGCAGAGGAGATGAGTGCAGAGGCAGCATTGTGGGTCGTTTATTTGGCTTTTGGAGCGTTGACTCGTCGTCGTCGGCTATATGATGATGATGATGATGACGACGACGACGACGACGGAGACGAGGCTGCTTGAATAGATGCTCAATCGTTTGGGTTGAATGAAGAAAAGCATGTGGAGTGGCGAGTGGAATGGAGTGAAGTGGCCTGGAGTCCGTGTCCATGTCCGTATCCGTGTGTGTGGCAGAGATTGGAGCATGAATAGGAATGCCAACGAGGAAACGAGAAGGAGGAGGTGGAGTAGTAGCACCAGCGTGAGTGCCACTGCGGTGGCATAATGTTCTTGTTGATGTTGAGTAATGGGCATAACAACTGTAAGCTGCCTGCCTGCCTGCTTGTCCAGACAAAAACGAGAGCCAGAGCGAACCTGGAACCTGAAACGAACTCCGAGCGAGTCGAAAAATGTCCAACAGAAGCAAACAATTCCATTACCCAGGCGAAGAAAAGAGAAATTTGTTTTATGGGTTTTTGGTTAAACGCTTCGTCTCTCTCGCTTCCTCGCCACTTTGCCATCCGCCTTTGTTTGTTTCTTTCTGACTTCTGCAACGTCTGTTTTGACTTGTTGTGAAAATTTGGCTTTCACAACACGAATACGGCTACTCATACACATATACACACACACACCAACACATACGTTGTCTCTGTAAAGTGCCTACGAACATTTAATGGGATTTCCGTACTTGACACGAACCCTTCAAATGGACAGATGCACAGGCACACCGTTATTCACTCAAATGGGCGCTATATGGTAGATATATATATATGCATATTTCTACCTTATACCAAAAGCCCATGGTCAAAATGCCTATGACGAACTCAATTGGCCATGCTGCATGGTTCAAATTGTGTGTGCGTCTCGTCTTGGTAATTAAATGGACTCCTCTCGAACGCCTTAATAGAGAGGCTTTTGTTATGCCCTCGGGAATGCGCCGGAGATGGGTAATTTCAGTTGGGTTATTTAGGTGAGGTTTTTAGAGGTTTTCAAACGGTTAAATTGAAGGAATTTCTCATTGTTTATAGGGGGAAGGGAGCTTGGGAATTTACAAAATTCGTTTGAATGGAAAATAAGATTAACCATGAAATATGTAGTTTATAGCATAAACAAAACTTAAATACTCTGCTTTATTAGATTTGAAATATTTGAAATTCACAAGTAGATGACTAATTTATTGAAAAGTAAATAAAGAATGGATAAATAATTCAAGTATATTGCTGTGAAGACCTGGGAAAAAAATATATCATAAACTAAAGAAGCATAATCAACAGAATAAAGAGTTGTACAGCGGAATTCAAGAGTGCACTTGAGCGCGTTAATTTAAAGGTCTAAGCTGAATGAATCATTGAATACACAAATGGTCTATAAATAAAATAAACAAAATAGCCATACACAGAATTCAGGAATACAACTGGGATCAAAGGTTCGGTTGAGTGGTTCAATTGAAAGTTCCGGTCGATTGGACAAGTTCAGAGCGATTGAACCCCACTCGAGTTGTGGCGAGTCAATTGAAAACTGAAGGATTTCACAATTTCCACCCTTTCGATGGACAAACAAACGTGTGGCCGTTGTGAATGGGGGGGTTAAGGGGGTCTCTCAATCACAGCCGGGGGTCTAATTCATTTACAGCCATATCACTTAAACTTCACCATCGCGTAGTCTGCAGCCCGGGGAACTAACCTAATAATCTCTCGCTGAGAGCCCCGTGTAGATAAGGATAAGTTCTCGGGTTTTATGGGCCACCCTTAATGTACAGTTGCTGATAGACGTCGATGGCATAAGGGGCTCTTTCAGTCTGAATTTGAGTTGTCTATCTATCTGGCTGTCTAACGCTCTTATTAACGCCATCGCAGTCGCCGTTGTAGTTGTTGCTGCCGTTGCTTGATGCCTATTTGTCAGTCAATTAGTCAGCTTATTGGCAAGCGATGATTACAAAGAGAAAAACAAGCCAAAAGCTAAAGCTAAGCGGGAGAGCCAAACAGCCGACAAGCCAGCCGACGACAGTCGACAGCTTTTCCATTTCAAAATTATACTCGGCAAGGCTGAAAGAGTGAAAGGGAGCGGAACATAGATAGATAGAGAAAGAGAAAGAGCAAACGAGTGGCCCCTCGTCGGATTTTCCCCACTTTTCTATGCCCCTCCATTCCTCCGCCAACCGAGAAACACCTCCACCCCCTTTTGGGATCCACTCGCGTCCGTTTAGCCGCGTGCGTACACACAATTTTCCGCTACTCATGCTACAAATTGTTTATTGAATTTCCTCTTTCTGCGGCCGTTGCCGATGTTGTTGGTTGTTACACAGTGAGAAAATATGTATCTTAAAATCCTTATATTATTAGATTTGCATAAAATAAATACCGTAAAGTTTTTAAACATTAAAAGTAAGAAATTAAGTTATAAGCCCAGTTTAGTTACTACAAAAACTAAATACCTATGGACATAGAAAAACGATTTTTCTTTCTGTGTGATTTGGCTGCCATTGGCTTTCGAATTTTTTATTTTCATTTACATTTCTCGCTTTGTTTTCGTTTATGTTTATGGGCTGTTTAGAAAACAATTTCCAGCCACAGATAGGGGGTAAGTTGGAGTTGTTAATCCAGTGTAACTTTATAATATGCGATGACATTAATTGAGCGAAGACGGACGCGCCAGTTGAGAGTGACAGCATTATTGGCCTTAAATTTACACGGAGGTCAGATTGTGGAGAGGGGGACGAAATCCGGTGTTGGGGGGACGGTCCCGGAAAAAGCCAAGCCAAAGCTGGGATCCAAACCGACATTGCTGACTCACAAAATGAGAGCCAAGTACTCGAGAACGTCACGTAGTCAATGTACAGACTCTACCCAGTTCGTGTCGTCTCTTTCGGTCTCTCTGTGTCTATATGTATATACCCCTCTCTTTCACCAGACTGTGTGCCATAATTTGTGGTCTTTTACAGGGAAAAAGGGACCGTTGTAGAGCAGAAGCAGGCATGAGGAAAACCAGGGGAGTGGCAAACACACGGAGGGCACTTTTCGGTGGTGGCAAATGTGTTCGAGCCTTTCGTTTTGTCTTTTCAGATTTTATGGCTTTGTGCGTTTACAACGTCGCTTTTGTAGTACATTTGTTTTATAACAGCCGCTCAACACCGCCAGCGGAAAGCCGCCACAGAATATAGAGCCCAGAGACCATAGCCCCGACAGAGCCCACAAGGCAGGAACAGCGGGAGGAACAGCTTAGCACATTGCCAGCAGTTATTACACAATTTTTCCCCAAGCGCCAGCCAACCAGCAGCCCAAAAGGCAATGCACAGTGCAAAATTCAGTAATAAATCAGTTGTATATAACTTTTTGGCAAAGATTAATTCGATCATGTTCCGGGGATGACTGACTTACAACCCTTGTTTTTGGTTACTGGTATTCGATGGGTAGTTTATAAAACAATTTCACAAGCAAAATGAATCGAGAAAAAGATTCCCAAATTTGTATTTTAAGGAATATGAAAACAATACATATTTTTGGGGGGTTTTTTGTTTAGGTTTCTTGGCAAAAGGTTGAAATAGAATGTTTTAGAATGTAGGTAGGGTATAAGATTATAATGATTTTCTTTCTGTGGAGCAGCCTGGAGGCAAAACAGCAGCAAACCACCGACAATGCTCGGCATGTGGGGATCGGGATTCAGTCGGTCGCGTGCCCTGCGCCCTGGTGGCCACCGCCACCTTGTGTGTGTTTATATGAAATTTTTCCACTCACGACTCCCCCATAAAAAAGTTTGCTGCCAGTTAAACCAACCAGCCAAGCAGTCAAAACCCAACCAGGCCAACAGGGCCAGGCCAAAGCCAAAGCAAGTAACCTGGTCGGGTTTGCCTGTGCTGTGGTGTGGTTTGGAATGGAGTGGTGAGGTGTGGTGTGGTATGGCATGGTTTAGTATGGTATGGTATGGTGTTGCTGCTGATGTCGTTGATAAGTGTTGGCCCCAAACGCAGACCGTTCGTTGCACAGTGGAGCAGGGTACTTTGGAATGTATAGGGTTATGCTAAACAGATCTCTAAATAAGGTATATCAACCCTTTCACTAAATTGGCTATACCCCATGTCATTTTCAAGTGGTTTGATAATAATTAGTTAAATTTAAATCGCAAACCAAATTATCAGTTGTTACTCAACCCATTTTAATTCTTTAACTAACATTTTGAGTAAGAAAAACATAGTTTAATATATTAAACTAACCGATTTAAGTGAATCTTTACTTGAAGCTAGTTTAAGTTAGTAAAAGATAGCAGAACTAAATATAAAATACATTTTCAGTCATATCTCAATGGGTGTCTGTCTCGTTATAAACTTGAAAACACTTTTTGCAAGATTATTAGACTTATTGAGGGTGATGAGGAAATAAGTAGAGCACTACTGATACCGAAAAGCAATCCATTGATATCTCGGCTTTACGCTGGGTAAACAATTATTCATAGGTAAACATTCATTGGCATATTTCGCTGGCAGTCAAACAAAAGACGGCAGAAACGCTCGCATATTTCTCCCCCCTTCTGACTGACGGTCATGAATATTTCATTTGTTTGCCTGTGCCGAGGGGATTACTACCGAATCGAAACGAATCGAATGTGACCACGGTGCAACCCGAGGTCCAGGTCCCGGTCTTCGTCCTCCACTCCCAGCCGTTTTGTGCCCCTCCTCCGGGTCCACCTCCTCCGGGATCGTGGTGTGGCACCCTCCTCGTCCCGCTTTCCGTTGTCGTCAGTCATTTAGGCGGCGTGTCGTGCCTTATTGAGTGTAAATCTGTCGACAATGCGCACATACACCTCTACATAGAGGTATATATGTATATATATATCTGTTTATTTTTTTTTCGGCCTGCCTTTGCAGATCCGATGTGAGTCGGGCAGCCGTAGTCGTCGCTCCCGTAGCTGTCGCTGCATTTAATTAATTGATTTTAATTGCCATAATTTGTGTGCCGCTGCCACACAACCGCAACACCGCCGGCATTCCTGATGTGAGATGGCAGGCAACGCACTGCGTCCGTCTTTCCGTCTGGCCGTCCATTTGCCTGTCATTGTGCATTGCCAATGATATTGATTCATAAGCAAATTTAATGATAATTCCTCTTGGTGGAGTTGACTCGGCAGGCATGGGTATGTGAGTATGGGAGAATGGGGATGTGGTATAGGATGGTTTGGGGCCGAAGGAGGCTTACTTAACCGCCTCGTTACATTTATTCGCGGACTTACTTGAGCGGAAAATCTGTTTACAGCTGCACGCACACTCGAAAGAAAGCGCCAGACATGGAGAAGAGAAAAAAAAATGCGAGTGATGGTTGGAAAAAATTAAGTAAAAACGGGGAAACAGAAGTTGGCAATACTCTTTGTTAGGTAGCATAAAAAGGAATTTAAGAAAGTGAGAGGTACTCAAGCAAACCATCAGATTCATAAAAATCCTCCTTGTAAAGGGTATAAATTAAGAGGAAGTAGAGCAAACTGAAGCCAAACCATTCGTCTGTCGTCAGTCCAATTCTCCAATCCTTCGAATCCCTCGGGGTCTGTACGTGGCGGGCGCATTAACATATGCAGGCGATTAAGTGCCAGAGAACTCAATCGTCCGACAGCATAAACCCCTAATTTCCCGGCCCCGTCGTCGTCATCATCCGTGTCCCCCGGCCATTCCCTCCTCTCATCGTCACTACATCGTTCGCACATTACATGGCATTATTTTTATGGATTATTTATTTATGCATGTTGATATGAACTTCATCGCTTTATTGAAAATGCTTTTACCCCCACCGATCCGATAGCCCCTGTCTGCCGTACTTTCTCTAACAGTTTGAATCCTTTTTTTATATAACGAATTTTCTCTGTGTGCTTGGATCTATTTGCAGTTGAATTTCATACATATCGTAGAGGGCATAAAAAGGCTTAACACTGGACCGGAAGCGTGTTTTTAAAGGGTGATGGCGGCCTCCACTCAAGGAGAAATTCGAGTGGGTCCCGGCCACCAGGTAAACGATGTCTATGTACGTACATAACTCTCACAAATCAGAAATTCAGCTCACGGTAACAAAAAAAAAATGAAAAAAAAAACAAAGAACTACAAAATTTAACAAAATATGCAAACCGAATATAATAGACCTTATTTCTTTTGTTTATTGCAAAAGTTGTAATTTATATTCCTCTGTTCTTCCTCTTGAATGTATTCAACGAGAAATCTTTCTCAAATTGTTTTTGCGTGTAGCCTTTGAAGAAACGGAAAATAATTTAAGAAATTAATGGTCCTGTTTCCGTTTTCGATTTCAATCAAGTTTTGCGAGCATGAAATCTGTGGATTTTCATTTTTTCGGGTCACTGATGACTCAATAAAAGTACACATTAAATATATTTCAACATTTTATATGTTTATCAATGAATTTTAAAACTTTTAGAGTGTCATATATCTTGAAGAAGTATTTCTTTCTTGATAATTATTAATATTATGTTTCTATATCAGTAGATTCAACCGATTTCTTCGATAAGGCTACAGTGACGTGCATTAATTTAAATATTTCGGTTACTCTTAGCATAACCTTTTAAAAAGTATCCTTGTATATAACGCCTAATCCCTGTAAATAATTTGTAGTTCTAGCGTTTATGCAATTGGCTATTACTAGTTCGAATCCTCGATGAGTAGATGTTGACCCAGATCCAGATCCCAGCCAAATTCCTTGCTCTTCCTCCTTACCAAAAAACCATTCGAGGAAATTCGTAGCACACATTATACATTATTCATCCATAATCATGCATTAGACTTAAGTTTGTGTATCATCTCGTGGGTGCTGGTAATCCCCCCGGATTGCCGGCACTAGCTGTCTTGCCTGTGGTGTGTAGTGTGCGTGGTGTGGTTGTGTGACTAACCCATCAATCGTTCTCCTGGAGTTTTTGAACTAATCTCAAAATATTTCGTTTGTCTCCTATGACGACTGAAGGCAAAACTGCCCGATTATAATCCAATCTCAAGCTTCCCCATCGACAAGGAAACCGATGAACGTGAACTAGAGGAATCAAGATGGAGTCCAGGCGTTGTGGCCGATGGCGACTTGTTAATGTTCTTGCGTGCGGCTCGCTCTATGGCTGCATTTCAAGGAATGTGTGATGGCGGACTAGAAGACGGTTGTTTGGCTGCCAGTCGCGACGACACCACAATAAACGCACTCGACGTGGTGAGTTACCCGAGATGATATATGTTGAATGCATTTCCTTAGCACTTTTTAATCTGAAATCCCTTTGCAGCTCCACGATTCTGGCTACGATCCAGGCAAAGCTCTACAAGCACTAGTAAAGTGCCCCGTTTCGAAGGGCATCGACAAGAAGTGGACCGAGGACGAAACAAAGAAATTCATCAAGGGTCTGCGTCAGTTTGGGAAGAACTTCTTCCGCATTCATAAGGACCTGCTGCCGCATAAGGATACGCCGGAGCTGGTCGAGTTCTACTATCTGTGGAAGAAGACGCCCGGCGCAAACAACAATCGGCCGCACAGGCGACGCCGTCAGAGCGCCCTGCGCCGCAACCGTGTGACACGGGCCAACAACAGCAGCAATAGCAACACCCCTCCCAAGAAGGAGGACACTCCAGAACCACAAACTGCGACGACGGCGACGGCGGCGGCAACCGCGGCGTCCGAGACGGCGAGTCGATCCTCGCCCGCTGTCTCCAAGGAGGAGAACAGCTCGCTCACCGAGGACGACGCCAGCGAGTGCGACAGTGATTCGAGTCTGACCCACAAAAGGGATGAATCACCCTCAAGGATGAGGACGCGAAATAAGCAACAGAACAACAACAGCAGCACCAGCAGCAGCAACAACGCGGCCGGCAACGGTGGCGGTAACGCCACATCCATAAGTAGCGGTTCAACCGGCGGCGGTGCCGCTGGCGGCAATAGTTCGTCTAAGGACCAGTCAACCAACGCCGTGGCTAATGGCAAGAGGCCCAAGCGAGGCTCCGAAACACCGGATGTTGCCGGCGGAGCCTCGGTCGATAGTCCTAAGACACCGACGAAGAGCGTGGCCGAAAGTTCGGCCAACAAGCGCAAAGGTGGTAAACAAGATACGCCCAACAAAAAGAAACGAACGGAGCAGGAGGTCAACGAGCCGAGTGCCCAAGAAGAGAATGTTGTCAAGGAGAAGCGCAAGCGACCGGATAGCCCGGTGGAGAGCATGAACTCTGACAGCAGACCAGACTCTGTGCTCGACGATGGAGAATCCAACACCACAGATACCACCACCGCCGAGCAGCATTCCACTAAGGATAGCAAGGAGACGGTCAGCTGCAAGGAGGAGCGCGAAATGGTCACCAACGATCTGGAGGTCAAGGCCGAGGAAAAGGCGATCAAGGCAGAGACTTTGGCGGAGGATAGCAAGGATAGCGCAATCAAAAATATGGATGAGGAGACGAATATCCAAGCGCCTAACAGCGTGGAGACAAGTTTGGTGGATGGACCCAACCCTATTGCCGTGGCTAATCCTGTAGCACCACCAATTACCATGAAAGTGCCCACAATTGCGACTGTGGAGGCGCTAAATGCTTCCGTGGATCGCAAGGAGGCCATTGAAAAAATGGAGTCTTGCGACAACGATCCGGAGATGCTTAAGAAGCTGGCAACTATTAAGCAGGAAGTTTCTCCGCAGCTGCAACAGCAACAGCACATGCAGCAGCAAACGCAGCAGCAAATGCAGCAGCAACTCGTTCCAGTTGGCATTCAGCCACCGCCTACTTGTCCGCCTTCTGAGTCGGTGTACATCAAGAAGGAGCCCATGGAGGACTCCATGGATGCCACGTGCAATCAGAACAGCAATGAGCCTCAGGACCTGAAGGTGAAGATCGAGATTAAAAACGAGGATGCCCTTAAGCACAGTGCTGGAGGAGGTCTGCCACCAACAGGTCCTGGTGGACCGCCTTCAGCTCTGCATCCACTTTCCGGAGCTCCAGTAGAGAGTAGTCAAGAGCTCTTGCATCTGCAGCACATCCCTCATGGACCGGTGCCAACACAACCACCTCCTGGTTACCTTATCGATGGTCAGCTAAAGTATGGACCACCGGGACAAGGTGTACCCCCACAGCCACCACAACTGCACAGCGATGGGCCTGGAGGAGCCAGCGGACCACCGCCTGGAGCGCCGACAACGCCGCAGAAGTATCCGCCCGAGATGGAAATGAAGTTCGCTCCCCAGGATCTCAAGTATCCCCCACCGCCGCCTCTTGATGCACTGAAGTATAGTCAGGAGATGCAAGCATCGGCGGCGGCGACGGCAGCGGCGGTAGCAGCAGCTGCCGGAAAATACGATATGAAGTATATGATTGAGCAGCAGGGCAAGTACCCCGTAGAGTTGTCCGCTGCCCATCAGCCGCTAAGTAAGCCGGGTTACCAAGATTCGCTGAAGATACCCGATGTGAAACCAGGATTTGGTCACCTGCCGCACAATGTAGGCTCGCCTTTGGATGTTGCCCATAAATACGGGCCGCCTCCCACATCACAAGAGTCCCAGCAGCAACCTCAGCCACCAGCACATCAGGTTCCGCCGGGAGCAACTCCACCACCAGGCATCGCCATGCCTAAGCCGCACTACCAGCACGATGTGCAGACGCCACCATTGGGTCGGCCCTTCGAGCCCACTGGTCTTATGCTCAAGTATGGCGATCCATTAGCGGCAAAATATGGCCCGCCGCAGGATCTCAAGTACCCGATGCCACCGGTCTCACAGGCAGGACCGGCGGACGTGAAACCGTATGGTGGTGAAAATTTGATCAAGTCTTCGCCATATGGACCGCCTCCGGAGAGCCCTATCGATGCTTCCGCGCGCTCAACGCCTGGTCAAGATAGCCAGGGCAGCAACAGCAATTCACAGCCACCGTCGATGCCTCCGCAGCCCCAGCAGTTCCAGTCGCCGCATCCATCGCCGCATATGCCTTCTCCAGCCGGAGGTGGCCTGCCACCGGGAATGCATCCGCAAAATCTCATTCACGGACCGCCACCAGGTTCAGCGGGAGGTGCTGGCCCTCAGCCACCTCCACCGCCCACGTCGTTGCACCAGCCCACTCCCACGGCTCCAGGTCCGCCAAGTCTGCAACATGGATTGCATCCTGGTCACCCGCACCCGCAACTTTCTGCGGCTTCATCGCTACCGCCGAGCTCGATTGGAATTCCTCCCACGCTGTCGACAATGGCGCCCTCGCACATGCACCCGCACCTTCACCCACATGCGCATCTGCAGGGTCTCCATCGGCCGCACGACCTACCGCCCAGTATGCATCCACATGCGCCCATGCCTCTGTCGTTGCAGGGACATCCGCAGCATGGTCATGGACTGCCTCCCTCGCACGCTCCTCAGCAGCAACAGCAACAACAACAGCCGCCTGGCGGACCAGCTGGCACGGTGCGAACTCCATCACCTGCTCAGCAGCCGCCCAGATCCCTGCACGATCCACAATCGTCACGAGAGCCGCCCAGCTCACAGCCCTCGACCACGATGGCAGGATCGAGTGGTCCGAGTGGACCAGCGCCGCAACAGTCGCCGCACGCGCATCGCACATCGCCTTTACCTGGCCTCGCAGGTAGTGGACCTCCGCCGCCAGGACTTATCGGGCATCCGATGGCCATACATCCGCATCTGGCTCACCTGCCACCCGGTCATCCGGCCCACGCAGCGCTGGCTCATCCGGGACACCATCTACTGTCGCATTCGATAGCTGGTTTGGGTCCTGGCGGCGGACCCATAGCGTTGCTGGCCGGACCCGGTGGACTTGGAGGTATACCAGAATCCGCCCTTAGTCGCCGCACCCCGCCTTCACACTTGCCACACTCGCACGCCTCTACGGCCCCGCTGACTCCGCATTCCGTGGCCAGCATGACGTCTACCAGTATGTCCCTTACCACCAGCACGGTGCCATCGTCCGCCTTTAGTCGCGCCAGTCCCAGCGTACAGATCTCGAGCGGTGGTGGAGGCCCTTCAGGTCCCGGAAGTGTTGGACCTGGAGGATTACCAAACTCCTCAGCAGCGGCAGCAGCGGCTGCTGCGGCAGCTGCTCACCGTGCGGCCTCACCGGCGTCTAGCGTCAGCAGTCTAAGTCGTCAGAGCCCGCTCCATCCGGTGCCACAATCGCCGCTTAGCCATCATCCCTCATCCTCTGCGTTATCTGCAGCAGCAGCCGCTGTGGCAGAAAGGGATAGACATGCGTTGATGCGACAACAATCACCACACATGACGCCACCACCGGTGTCCAACGCCTCGTTAATGGCAAGCCCACTGAGCAAGATGTACGTTCCTCAGCCGGGTCAGAGAGGTTTGGGAACATCTCCACCACCTCATTTGCGGCCGGGAGCTTCGCCTCCGGTGATCCGTCATCCGCAGATGCCTCTACCGTTGCCACTTATTGCGCCTGGCGGAGGAATCCCTCAGATTGGAGTGCATCCGGGCCAGTCACCCTATCCGCATCCACTACTGCATCCCTCCGTGTTTTACTCTCCGCATCACCATCCCTTCAATTCCCCATATGGATATGCGCCCTATGGTCCAGGATTCCCAGCCTACATGAAGCCCCCACCACAACCGGGACAACTGGATCCGGCAGCTGTAATGGCCGCCCACCATGCTGGATTACAAGGACCGCCTCCCCAGCAAATGCGTCAGGATGAGCAAAATGCTGCGGCAGCCGCTGCAGCAGCAGCTGCTGAGAAACAACACCAAGCGGCTGCAGCAGCGGCAGCTCAGCAACACAAAGCGCCGCAGCAACAACCGCCCGGCGGTATGCCACCAAACAAGCCGCCAACGCCAAAGACACCACAGGGTCCGGGCGGTGGTTTGCCACCTGGAATGGGTGGACCGGGAACACCTACGGGACTACCGCCTGGTGCTTATCCTGGCAGTCATATGCCAGGATATCCACAAGGGCCGCCTCATGGTTCACCCTTCGCGCCGCAAGATGGTCAGCCTCATGGCCTCAAACCGACATCGCACATGGATGCCCTGCGAGCACATGCACACTCGGCCAATTCGGCGGGTATGGGCGGAGGACATCATCCCACGGAGCCATGTAAGAGGGGATTCTGGAATTGGATACTAAGTAGTTTAGCTAATTATGCTTATTATGCTTTCTTTAGTGCCCATTGATATTGAACCTGATCCGGAGCCAGAGATACCCAGTCCCACGCACAATATACCACGTGGTCCCAGTCCCGAGGCGAAACCGGACGACACCGAATGCCATCGCTCTCAGTCTGCCATGTAAGTGTCGTACCAAGGGATATTAAATATTTTTTTATATGGTTTCATAATTAATAATCTTATTCCATAGATTTGTGCGCCACATCGATCGTGGGGATTACAATTCATGCACGAGAACGGATTTGATCTTCAAGCCAGTGGCCGACTCAAAGTTGGCCCGCAAGCGCGAAGAACGCGACCGCAAGCTGGCCGAAAAGGAGCGTGAGCGGCGTCAGGTGAGTAGACTTTTCATCTACAAATGAAGCTCAACTTAATCCGATTTTCCGTCCTTCACAGCAGCAGCAACAACAGCAACAGCAGCAACAACAACAGCAAGCGGCAGCGGCTCAACAGGCGGCGCAGCAGGCCAAGATGAAGGCCGAGTTAAAGCCTCCGTATGCTGATACGCCGGCACTGCGTCAACTGTCCGAGTATGCTCGTCCCCACGTCGCCTTCAGGTGAGTGTCAGGAGATGGAGGAACAACCCTTCCTCAAAACTCTTACGCCTGGTGTTAGGATTTCGTTCAGTTATCTTCCGTCGTTTTTTACTTTTCTAACTCCATTTGGGAGTCCACAAAAGTCGCGTATGCTGATTGTAATTATTTCCATTCAATTCAATTTCAGTCCTGTTGAGCAGATGGTGCCATATCATCATCCAATGGGCCCCATGTACAGAGAGAGGTACAGTACCAAAGCCTGCCAAGCCCCAACTTCATTGCGAAAGCCTTGCTACATATCCCAAAACACAACCATTAACCCTTTCACGACTCATAAAATCCATTCACACCTCACAAAGTCTTGACATTCATCACTTCCTCGTTTATCCATATTCATATATAGTGCATTTCGGGATCCTAAGACTAACATGAATCTAATCCATTAAAAGGGGTTCTGAAAAGCACTAACATTTCCCAAAATGAAACCCAAACCATTCCGATAAGCATCGCCATTTCCCAGCTTTATATCCGCCAGCTTTTTAAAAATTTGGTATACTAAGCGCACATCAAAATTTACGCTTAAGCTCTTTATAATTTGCTTTTTGTCTACTCCAAGCCATGATTCCCTAACCAACTACACATTGATCCCAATGCGGCCAACCCGTAATCCTGGTGCTTTTACTAAATTTTAAATACTTTTAGGGAATTGGAGGAGATAAAGAACGCACAAGCTGCTGCGGCAAGTCAATCCCGACTAGATCCGCACTGGATGGAATACTACAGACGGTGGGTTCAAGCTTCTTTTTATATTATGAAATGAAATTAACTTTATAGATTTTCTTACTACACCAACAGCGGCATTCACCCCTCGCAATTCCCCCTGTATGCGAATCCAGCGATATCGCAGATGGAGAGGGAACGTCTGGGAATTCCACCTCCGCACCATGTGGGGTTGGACCCGGGCGAGCACATGGTGCGTATGGTAGGCTACACTTCTTTATTATTCCACTCGACTCATATTCACAAAATCAATCGTATTTGGAACGTGAAGCGATCGAACCGCAAAACCGAACCAATCACTATGTCCACTTGTCAGCTCACCTGTTAACCAGTCCAGTACCCGCATAAAAACAAAAACCCAAGCACGCGTCCCGTCATGCTGTTCATGTTCTGTGCTAACCATTTTATTTGCCATGCCATGCTTTTGCCTCATCTCGATGGGGCACCTAACCCACAATCCAAACCAATATCAAAACGACAAGTGTCGCCATCTAACCCGCATTACGCATCGTTACATAAAACTCTGTTAATCTTGTATTGGCGCCCACGCCCACGCAGCACTGGCTCTTTTGAAACTTTCTACGATATTCAATAATTTTCAGATACGATTGACGAGAGAATATCATGCACACTCTCATACTCATTTACATTTGCCTTTGCATCCACAGCCGCAACCACCGGAGGCCGGTTTCCAACTGCCACGTGAGTTTGTATAGCCCTTGAGGTTTTCGCCCTCTTCTATAGCCCCCACAGGACATAAAAATAACTGATCCATCTTTTCTTTTTTATTCTTCCCTAGCGAATGTTGGCCAGTATCCGCGGCCAAATATGCTTATACCTAGGGAGCCACACTCGGATGTCCTGCTGCGCATGTCTTATGCCGACCAACTACAGGTTTCCCAATTCCCTAATCCACATCCTAACTCATTAATTACATATATACAGTATTTACAGGCCGCCGAGTTCCAGCGACAGTCCCTGCACGATCAATACTTTAGGTAAGTTTCGTTGGGCATAGAAATACTTATGATTTGGGGTGTCTACGTAATATAGATCTGAAAGACAGATAATATTGATATAATCTTTAATGTACAATAAATATGAATCAGACAAATACATCCAAAATTTAAGCTAGGCTCATCCACTCCTTTGTAACATAGTTTTTCACCATGTTTTTGTTGTTGCTTATGTTGCATTTATGTTTCTGTTTCCGTTTCCGTTTGATCATCGCCCGCTCTCTTTCATCCCCACAGACAACGGCCCAGATAAGTGGACAGACAGCAATTGTAGAGAGCAAGCAACTGAACAAAGACAATACTCGGGCCGCGGCCGTGAGGAACTGCTTTGTGTGATTTTTGTGTTCAAGCGTTTACATTTTGTTTTCCACATATACAACCCCCACATACTCACCATTAAGAAAGCATCAACATCATCATCATCATTATCAGCAGAGACGACGTCAGCGTATGGCTCAATAATCCAGAAACCAGAAAAACCAAGCGACTATAAGTTGCGCAACGCCTTGTCACGTTTTTATGTAAAAAGTTAGTAAACCCTTTTTGATTTTAAACTCATCCCTCTGCTTCGAATCATCTAGTCAATGTTTATCTCGAGATTATTTAGTACTTGAACTAATACGAAATTTTGATAAACAGGAATCAGCTGCGTTAAACGGAAGTGGACCGTCAATCGCTCCAGCTGCACACAAAACACTTCACACCAGACACTTACTGACCAAGGCATCCAGAATCAAAAAGCAGAAACCAACTACAAAAACTAAACTAAACAAAACAGGACACGATGGTCGCAATATCTTAAGTATCCTTTTCATAGTGTATAGTGTTAAATTCTTAGACTTAAGCGAGATTTGGATTTGGAGCATGTTAAATACGGTCTAGAATTATATTAAGGCAAAGGAACAAAATCGAACTTGGCACACAAATTTTTATTGAGGTTTTCAAGCAGCTTATATAAATATATATGTATGAATGTGCTACACTTCGACAAGAAACTAACTAGTAAGCTCCACAAATCAAATGATTTAAACACGATGATAACTAAGCAAAACCAAAACACAAACTCACCCGCACTTGCTGCAGGAGGCAAGGTACATAAATTAGTATAGTAAAACGATTAAGAGATAGAAGGATGGAGCGTTCATATATATATATATTCGAGTGGTACTGTACAAATGGATTCGGAGTTCGATTTTCTTTTTACAAAACATTTTGACACTTTACCCAATAGATATGTCTAATATAATTTAAATGTACTTCCAGCCGCAATTGAACCTTATATGTGCTTGCTGCTTTTGACTTTTTAGCTAAAATAAAATGGAAAACGAATCACGCCAATGCCTAGATTTCGCTTTTTGTAGTCCCCGTTTTTACCAACTACCAACTAATTGCTACTCATTATTTATTATTTTGCTATGACTAGAGTATTATATAGGGGTCGGGAGATGAAAGTTTGTAAAAAGTGCATAAAAGAAATAACGAAACAATTATATGGGTATTATGTGAATGATTTGATGCTGCTTTCAATAACAAAAGCACAGCACAGCGATCTATAGGTGTGTCATGCAAGCATTTGAAGCAGCTGTAATTTCGAGTGCTTAATTTATATAAGTAATTTATACAATTATTATACGCAAAACATGCATTGAATACACACAACGTTTAAAATAAATTTAACTGATAAGGCCAAAAAACAGCAAAGGTGGAATGATTGATTGGCAAACAAAAAAGTGTGAAATTTACTAAACAAACAAAAAAGAAGAGCAAAAACAAATGAAACATATTTTTAAATACAGTTTTTTATTTCACATTTTGAATATACACATTGATATAAATATATTGTAGCTATATATATACTAATTATGAAAGTTTATTGTAGGAGTCTTGCAAGCATATTCAATGGCACACAAACGACAAGAAAAAAACAAAACAAAAATTAAGAAAGATTTTGCGTAGTTAACATTTAAGAACTGTAAAGTGAAGATCCATACATATTTATATATATATACAAAACAAAAACAAACAAATGCAGCTATATTAATGCAGCTATATTACTAAATAAATTATAAAACAAAAAAGATCATACAGAAAAGATAAATTATTAAAACCTGTAAAAACTAAGTAAAACAAAATAAAATTAGTTACATTAGTTACCAAATCCCAGAATAACTTCTCTGCTTTCAAACTTGGTGGTAAATTTATTTCCGTAAAACAATGTATTTGGAAAAGGTAACTGAACGTTTTAAAATCGAAGCTAGATGTATTATGGGATATTCCTTCCGTTTTTAAAGGGTTTTTAAATCATTAACTCAGACAGCATACAAATAAAACATTTCCTTTTTTAGATATTCAATATAACAGTTTATTTTTGCTAATTCGTATTCTATTAAATTTATTATTTTATAGGGACCTAATTAAAGACTTTCTAAAATAATTAAATAAATTTTAATCAGTGGCTTGGTTATGAATATAACTTATCAGTAAAATGGGTCTTTTAGGACAATGGAAGCAATAAATACATGCAATAATAATTTAATGTAACTATGGATAGGGGGATAGTAGGTCTAGACAAGACGAGCAGATGAGCAGGTTGCACCCGAAGTAGCATTCTGTGGTTCCGGATCGCTTCCATTTCCAATCCCGACCAGGCTTACTGTTCCTCCGGTGGCGCTGGCCAGGACTCGTTTGTAGTTGCTGCTACACTGAGAATCGGCCACTGACCGCCCATCGCCTTCATCCCGTCGACAAAGATCAACAGTGTAAGGAGCTCCAGAAGATGATGTGTGAATCTCAAGGCGACGCTCCAAAATATCCGCTGTGGTCAGTTCGCTGGCCTGCACCAAACTGCTATCGGGTACATTGCTCAGCCACGGCTTAAGGATGCCTTTTTTCTGTATGGTGACAGCCTTACAGCGACAGATAACATCGGCGGGATCACCGCAAATGGGACAGGTGGCTTCTATGACGGAAGCGGTTGAGCCCTCCACTTCATTGCCACCACCGCCCACAACCGTGGGCATGGTGGATCCAGATGAACTGCCACTCAGCTCCAGCTCGCTGACAGTATCCACCAGACTTTTGAGGCCAGCACTTTGTTGTGAGCATCCCTCAGACAGGGAAACGACCTCCTGGTCCTCATAGTTTGGACTCAAAAGAAGCTTGGACAGCGGTGGAGCCAATCCCAAGCCGACATTACGTTCATGGTACAGCTCAGATATGTTGGGTGTCATGTGACGCATCATGCTGTCTTGCATGCTCTTGCCATTCGACTTGGAAACAGACGGACCATCTTCCTGTTTGGGCTCGTTCAGGAGTTCGGAGTCTGATTGGGAGAAGTACAAGCTGGATGGATTAAAGACCACATTGGTAACTTCCTCTTCCTCGGGTAAAGCGAGGGGTTTTCTCGTAGCGGGTCCACCGTTCATTGCATTACCACTTCCAGGAGCACTTAACTCTGTTCTTACACTCAGCCTATCCATGAAGAGAGCATGCTCCTTGTTAACCCGTGCTGCCAGAGAACTCTGAGCACTTCCCAACTTAATCTTGGGTTTGTTACGACCTCCTGCGCCCACACCCAAATTGTGAAAGGTCGGTGGACGTGGTGGTGGTAATGGTGGTGGCTGTTGTGGCATTGCTCCACGTCTGAGGACCGTTGCATGCCCGGATCCTTCCCAATCTGTGGTGCTGCTGGCAGAGCTGGAACTATCTGGCCTTCTGCTAATGGTTGTCGCTATCTGAGGAACAGAAGTGGCAGAGCTGGTCTGGGAGTACAAGCTCCTGATGCGCGTCTGATGGGCAAGAGCCAAAGACAAACTTGGATCGGTCACTGGTGGACTGGGAGTAAAGGCGGCATCGCTCTCGCCACCTCCACCTGGTCGTGAAACCCGAACAGGAGCTCGCATGCTGGCGTAGCCCAAGCGCGGATTAGACAGACCAAACCCCGGTTGAGTAGCGTAGCCATCGGACAGGGAATGCTCGCTATCGGTGGTGTTAGCCAAACTGGAATCTAAGCCGCTTCCTGCTCCCCCTGCTCCGCTGATAGCCTCCGTTCTTCCGCCATCCGGTTCTCCACGCCGTCGCACATAGGAGATAAAAGCACTTCGCGGATGGAGCGGAAGTGGAGCCTTATTACCCCCGTTAACGGACGGTGTGCTGCTGGCCGCAGGTGGAACTGGAGGGACATCCAATTCTGGTTCTGCCAAAGACTCGCAACTGCTGCTTTGGTCAGAGTCTGGATCCAGTCCAAGATTCTTCGGAGCCTCCCTGGTGTCTGAAAATAGGAAATAAGATCATAATTGGTACCAATTGGGTAAGATTAGGCAATAATACTTACCAAAGAGAGCGAGGAGTGCCTGTAGCACAAACTGACAATGTCGGCGATTGGCCTGTTTTCCTGTGCGCAGAATCACCTGGTCCGTACCCACCTCCGTCAAATCGAAACCAACGGAAGCAAGCAGTTCATGGCAACCAGCTACCCTCCAGAGTCTTACACTCAGCGGCATCTCGATGAAGCAGGTTTCGGCGACCACTTCTGTTTTGACAGAATTCGAACTAGGGCCGGGATTGGAACCAGGGAACTGGGCTAAAATATTCCGCATCACGGCTATGACGTCGTCCGCATATTCGACACTATTAACGTGAACCAATTTAGCCAACGCTTGAAGAGTCGCCGGTGTTAGTGCGAGAAGGGCTTGGAGACTTGCTGAACACTGGGCTAGTCGCTCTTCCGGATCAGCCTGGGGGAAGAAAACGCTGGACGGAATACCATTAGCTGCCGGTTCGAAACGGAAGCCCACAGCCATCAACAGATCTTTCCAGCCGCCGACCGGACCCGCCTTATTCTCTATGCTTTGGTGAGTGGTGTACATGGCATTCTTTTGGCCGCGGTGAATCCTCTGCAGACTCTTTTCTACCAGATGCAGACAAACGCGAAGTGCATCCCGACAACGCTCTGGGGTCCGAAGAAGTTCGCAAAGAGCATGACCCAGAGCCACCTTGTTAGATAGTCGGATATTGCTACCCACCAGAAGGAATCCAGCCCAGTTGGCCGGATGCGCAAAGTGCTTGGTGTGCTGTACCGTTTGCATGGCTTCCGCCAAGGCGCTGAAAAAATTGAAACATTCATTGTAATCTCAAGCAAATCCAATATAAATCCGGAGCACTTACCGAGCAGCTCGGGCACCCTGCAACAAGGCGGAATAGAAGGCGCGTAGGAGGATCTTGGCCGCTGTTTCTGGAACGGGCCATAGCGAAATAAGCACAGCTCCAGCTCCAGCCAAAAGCCAACCGCCAGCCATTTGGGCTACTCCAGCTCCGGTAATGGGTTCTACTGAGTGATACGAGCTCAATACGACGAGGCGGGCACTAAGACGCAACTGGCGCAATTCTCCGGCTGCCAGGGTGAAGTCAGCCATTTGAGGCTCGTGTGGTTCATTTTGTTGCTGTTGCTCGGCAGTGACCACATCGCCGGGACTCAAGACCACGGCTCCCGATTGCCAGCTAAGATTGGCTGCAAAGTGGACGCAATCGGCGGAGGGCAATTCGGCAAGAACGGATTCTTTGGTGGCATTGGAACCAGCCAAGGCGGTGGCCTGCAGCATGTCAGCAACCATGGCTGCCTCTTGCAAGGCTGCAGGCGATTCCGCTCCAGCCCAACCCCAGCGTTCGGCGAGGGTCGATGGAATACGAGGGCCTCCTACTACCAAAGATTTGGGTGGACGAGCACGATCTCTTCTGGCCCTCGGACGACTACGTAGAGATTGCAGTGAAGGAGCGGTTAGGATGGCACATCTCTCGGACAAATATTCCCCATCTTCCTGAGCCGCCCTTAATATGGCGAAGGGAACCAAGTAAAGTGAGCTGTCCAGCACCAGGATCAACTCCCTTCTGCCTTGTCCTCCATCAGGCAGAAGATCATCAAATGGAGCTAACAGCAGATTGTACAAAGTGTGCAAGCACGAAGGTCCTCGCCAGGTAGGCAATGACGGAGCTCTTCGGGAACTGCGACTGCCCACGGATCGCGTAGAGCCCTGCAGACTGGCCACTGAGCCTCCAACTGATCCCACGGAGAATAGTGAACTCAACGAGTAGTTAGAGGAGTTGAGCAGTTGATTGCGGCTAACCATGCGCAGGAATCCTCCTCCTCCGGAGCCCCCAGCTCCAGGAAGATCCTCGAGTAGTTGCTCCGTGCTTGCTCTCCATCCACTGCCATCGCCTTCGTGCAACAGATTCTGCGAGTTCACACCGAGGTTATCCCTCACCATGTTGACATAACGTTCTAGTAAACCATTGGCCGGCATGGAGTTCTGTGAGTCTTCACCCTCCCTTTGCCTTTCAAGTTCTTTCTTCATTTCCAGTTCCTCCTCCTCTTCACTGAGGGAAAATGGAAGCTGCAAGCTATTGGCATCGATCCGGGAAGCATGGAAGCGAACGATCCCAATTTGAGGTTCAAGCAGCCAAGCGAATAGTTGGTCCCCAGCCAAGCTATAGTAAAGTACGGGCATTCGACATCGGTTTACTGCTTCTTGGATGGCTTCGATGTCGGCCAATGGAACCTTCGAGCTCTCCCCGTTTACGACATCTGCTCCACCCCGAGCCTTGCAACGCTCGGCCGCCACTAGGGCATCCTCGTTTCGATTCAGCGCCACAAGGATGAGTTGGAGGAGATGGTAACAACTAGTCTGCAGATCGTATAGCGCCTGTCTAGTTTCCGGACTTCGCTGTTCATGGCGCACGGATTCTAGCAGCTGGGCAGCGGTCTCCAGTTGGAGGTGGGCTCCCTCGTCATCGCCAGAGGAGCGAAGGGCAAGACCTAAAGGGTGGATCAAATGTATAAAAATGTCAGACAAAAATCTAAGAAATGCACTCACCTAATTGATGTCTTATCTTGGCTTCCTCCTCTGACTTTCCCATGGACTGAGCACTTATCAATCCTTGACGCAGATAGTCCACCGCTTGGTTGTGCTGTTCCAGTTGATGGTGAACTCTTCCCAGAGCCAAACATGCCATCGCCTTCGCCAATCGATCCGAACTCAGCTCCAATTGGCGTTCATAACACTTAAGGGCTTCTGACTGCTGACCCAAGGATTCATGGACGGATCCCAGATTACTCAAAGCACGCGCCTGCAAGGCGGGAGCAGAGAGTTCTGTGCATATCTGCAGATCTTTCCGGTGTATCTCCAGGGCCTCCGTATACTGGCCCATTCGCTGCTGGACCTGTCCAAGGGCACACATGGCATCCGATTCCAGGGCGCGATCCTGAAGACCTTGCGCCAACTCACGCTGATGCTCCAGGCAGTTCAAAGCCTGTGTATGGTTTCCCAAGGCAGCATGAACATGCCCAAGGTCTCCATAGGCCAATGCCTTAATCTCCGGACTGTGCAATTCGTGTGCCACCACCAAACGTTTCTCCAGGCAAACCAAAGCAGCTGGCAGTTGCCCCAGTGCTCTTCTGGCTTGACCTAATCCTCTGTAAGCGCGCTCCTGGTCTCGATGACTGGTCAAGCCCAAAGCCAACTGAAGCTGCCGGTCATGACACTTTATCGCCTCCTCATAATCTCCTAGAGCGGCATAGCAATCACCCAAATGGCCGAGGGCTCGAGCACGATCCGCTTGAGTGGAGGGCAATGACACGCGTTCCAATGTGCCCAATTGGGCTTCTAGGCAGCCAATGGCCGCCTCATAATGAGCCATATTAAGACGGGCGATTCCCAGATTTCCATGTGCCTGGGCCTCCACTGCGGCATCTCGTTGCTCTTGAGCCCTTTCCAATTGCTCCTGGTAGCACTTCACGGCATTTGTCCAGCTGCAGAGTGCCATGTGAACTGCTCCCAAGTGGCCATGTGCACGACATTCACCTGCTAAGTCACACAGCTCCTGTCGTAGTGTCAACTCCTGTGTGTGATGCCCTAATGCTTTGTCCCAACACCGCATCAGTCTATGGGCCAATCCCAAAGCTCCACAAGCAGCCGCCTCCATCGAGCGATCTCCAGCAGCTCTGGCTAAAGCCAACTGGCGTTGATATAACTTGATGGCTTCCTACAATGGATGAAGAGACGATGTTATTACACATTATTTATGTATATAAGCCACTCCATCTTACCTCATGTGATCCCGTTCGAATGAGGATGTCTCCAATATTTCCCAACGCTCTGAACTTCGCCGGCAGTTGATTGGTGGCATGAGCTACCGCTAGAAACAGCTGCTGACACTCCAAGGCGGCGGCAGTGTGACCCAGAGCTAGATGAGCCAACCCAAGATTGCAGTAGGCTCTTCCCATGTTAGGTCGATGCTGGGCATCCTTGGCCAGAGCCAGATCCTGGTCGTAGTACCTGACAGCCGCCCGATAGTTTCCTAGAGAGAAATGGGCATAGCCGAGCAAGTGACATGCTTTGCCCTCGGCGGCCACATCACCTAGTTCCTGGGCAAGCATCAGGTAGCTTTCGTAGTGCGGAACCGCTTCCTCGTATTCTTGCCTTCCACTGAGGCAGTTTCCCAGATTTAACAGCGCACATGCTTCGCCAGCGGTGTCTTTCAGGGATCTGGCGGTGGCCAAATGCGCTCGATAGTGGGTTAAGGCAGCATCATGTGCACCCAGAGCCTGATATGCCACCGCTAGATTTCCATGAGTTGCCGCCTCGGCACTTCGGTCATGCACCGCCTGATTAATGGCCAATTCCTGTTTGTGATATTTCACCGCCGCCTCGTAGGATCCTGCCATGTGTGCCATCCTGGCCATGTTCCCGTAAGCTTTTCCCATGCCTGTTCGATCACCCAGGGAGCGGGCAATTCCCAGATGAGCTTGGTGGAGCTTCAAAGCGGCATCATGGGAACCTAACATCTGGTAGACAATGCCCAGGTTTGAGCAAGCTCTACCTTCACCTAGTTTGTCTCTTGCAGCCAATGCCATGGCCAGCTGACGTTCGTGAAACCTCTTCGATGCACTGGCGTCTCCAGCACAACGCGCCGCATGACCCAATCCCGCATAGGCAGCTGCCTCCATTGAGCGATCTCCCAGAGCTTGGGCAATCCGAAGCACCTGCTCATGGCAGGCAGCTGCCTGGGTGAACTGTCGCCGTTGGTGATGAGCAGAACCAAGATTAGAGTACGCCCTGGCCTCTTCCACTTGATCATGCAACTTCCGGGCCAATCTCAGATGCTGTGAATGACAATCCAAGGCGGCTTCGCATTCTCCCAGGGCCAAGTAAACCGCTCCCACATTGCCGATTTCTCGAGCTTCCTGCAGACGATCTCCAAGTTGCTTGAATAGCTGAACGCACTGTTTATGAGAAGCCAGGGCATTAGGGTAATCCCCGCTAGCCGTGTACACGTGGCCCAATGAGGTCAAAGCTGCCGCTGCCGCCTGAGTATCCTTGCACTTCATGGCCAATACCAGTTGGTAGCGATGTGCCGTTAGTGCTTCCTTATGGGCTCCTTGACTGAAGTAGGCGGAACCCAGATTTCCATGTGCCCGACATTCGCCTGCCGCATCTCCCAAGGATTTGGCCACCGCCAGATCCTGTTGCATATAACCAATGGCCTGATCCAACTGATTTAATGCCCAGTGGGCGGAACTCAAGGCGCTGAACACGGAACCTCTCAACTTCAAGGAGCAACTGCCAATCCGAAGGGCAGCCTCGAGAACTGATACCGCCGCTGGATACTGAGACGCCTGGAGGAGTTCCTGACCCACCACTGAGCTGACCACAAATGGCGACTCCTGCAACTGCATGGTTCTCAATTGCTGCAACGTGGGTTCCAGTGCCGTTCGCAGTGGACTTTTCAAAGAGGCTTCTATTAGCCCTCCCATTAACTGCTTGTTGGTTGGTTCCTGGGCCAAGCCGCATGCAAAGGATGCCAAAGCTTCGCCATAACGTCCCAGGCATTGCAGCGCCACGCCCTGGCGAAAGTACGCCTTTGGCCATTGAGGACACAAATCCCTCGCCTGCGTGGCATCTTGCAAGGCTGCTGCAAATTGTCCCTGTTTTAACAGTGCCGCCGATCGATTGCTGTACAAGATGTGGTTGCCCGGGTCCAGTTGCAGTGCATCTGTGTAGAGCAGTACAGCCGTGGCGAAGTCGCCGCTCTGACAGGCGGCATTGGATTGACGCACCTTCTCCAAGAATAGAGCACGGTTTGCGGCGGGTAACTCCGGCGTGCATTCCGGCTCATTCTGCGAAAGAGATTCGGAAAAGGGATCAGCATGTAAATATGTAGTTTTTTCTTAAACAACAATTTCTGATGATATATTTATTTCGTGTGCAGGCGATCAGAGTTAGCATTGATTAGGGGCAAATTACTGGGATGAAGAACATTCCACAATGCCATGGCCTAAGTAGAGCAATAAACGCAACTGTACAAAGGTGGAGGAGCAGGCGGCGAAAGGAGTGGCAGGCGAGGATTTGCAGAATTGAGGGAAGAGTCTGGATGATTGCACATCTGCCGCTGTTATTGGGAAGAACAGTGGGCTAACATCGCGATTTTTATACGCCAATCTAATTAATTACTTTGTTTAGTGGAAACATAAAGGTTACGACTTAGTAGTAAGTGATTTTAACCTTGGAAAGCAGAAACAAGACAAGGCAGAACAGACAAGTAAATTAATGATTTTCTCCTGATTTTCTTAATGGGCTTTAATTCTATTGCCTTAACCCGTAGGATACATTCCAGATAAACTCCAGCTGGCTGGCCCACTGTGCGGTCGTCACTGGGTTGTAATTATGTTAAATGCCGACGCACCAGCTTGGCGGCTAAGTCGACTGCCCTCGGAACACAGGTATGCGGCCAGGCCACCGAGTCACGTTTCCCGGCCAACTGCTGTTCACAGCTCAGAGCTCACAGCTCCCGATCCTGTTCGCTCAGGCCATCAAATGCGGAAGCAATTCCACGAATTCGTGGCCCAAGAACTGAACTGAGCCACGACTGTTGGTGAATCAGTAGCTTACTAGCTAGAGTTTAGGCCTTTTTTGGCATAGGCCAACGATGGCCATGGTCACGGCCACATCGCCGGGACGTTACGAGACGAGACCGTGACAACGACGTGGAAATTTTTACATATTTTTTGAAGCAATTAAATGCAATGAGTATGCAAATGCATTAGGCCAGTACCGAAACGGCGACCGAGTCCCAGTTGGCCAGTCCTTGATAGGAAACGTGGCCAGCAAGTGCTGATGCAGAAATGGCGGGGCGTGAGTTTCGGATAACGTGCCTAGATTGGCCTTCTGGCCGGACCCTGGCCAGCTCCGAATAAATCAGCTAGCTACAAAGTATCTGACAGATGCAGAACGCAATTTTCGTTTTATGCAGCTTATAAAAGCCGACAACGGACTTGGCCCCAGCGATAAGCCCCAAATGAAGAGGGCGTTACCAAAAAAAAAAACACAAAAAAAGAAAAATGAGAAAGAAAGGATGGGTTCCGGAACCGATTTTGAAATACCCTACAAAAGTTTTTGCTAAGAAGTTAATGTGAAAGTGTCTAGGTAGATGTTAGTCAATTTCATATTACTCTTCGAAAGGGTAAAAAACAGAACTTGGACTCTTCATCTTGGGAGCGTTGGTGGTGCTAGCCGAGTAGATCTCGCAGACAAGATTGCGGGACTGCTGCCAATGGTCAAAGTCAAATAAACACGCACAGAAGAGAACATGCCCTCGAAATGGCCGACGAAGATCTCCGGCGGAAGGGAGCGCCGCTCTAAGAATCCAGACGGAATGGCATTAGCAGATGTTATCACTTTGACTAAAATAATAATAATAATAGCAGTCAGTCCGACGGAGTTAAGGGGAACTCAAGCCGATGGCTTAGGATAAGCGCAAGCTGTGGGAATGCTGACTAAGAATAACGTGATCCAGCGATGACAGATGGCCAACATTTCTTTAAAGTAAGTGCAAGGAATTTTGACTTTTAAGTCTTGTTATTATTATTCTCTTTATTATAAGCTGGCTACCGTTTTTATTGACTCTTTCAGTTTAAATACTTTAGCTTAAGGGTATTACTTTTTTTTACTGCCAAAACTCGGGCTGAGTAACAAGATATCTGCCCGGGAAGTTACTTTTCTGTATTTGTATCTCCTAATTAACTGCCTTTCTTTCTTTTCCAACAGGCTAAAAATCTCAGTAGATCTTTTTCAGCGTTTTCTGCCCTTTCGCTCCGTTTTTGTTCCGCCGTGCTGTATGTCAATTTAGGAATTGGCGCCCAAATGGCACATAGAGAAGTCATGTAAAGTGATAGGCTAGCTATCTCGCTTCGCCAATTCCAGCTAAATTGGCAGCAGCAGCAAAGGCAACAGCAACTGCAACAGCAACATGACCAACAGCAACTGCAGCAGCAACAAACCAACAGCAGCATTTTAGAAAATAGTCGAAGACGGACAAGAATTTTATGCAATGAGAAAGGGAGAAAAAGCGGGTAGAGAAAGGAAGTCGGCGGTGGAATTCAGGAATGTAAGAGAAAAACCTGCGATTCGAGAACTGGTCGCTGTTTCTTGGCTGTCCGCCCAGCAAAAGCAAAAAAAAAAAAGAAAGAGAAAAAATAAAGTAAGCGTTCAGTAAGACAAAAAGTGGCACCCATAGATGCACTCGGGCGGCTGCCTGGAACCAAACGGGCTAGTATGTGTTAGCCAGCTTGGCTTTATACATATACATATACATATACATATATATATATATATCTATATGTATATGTGTGTTAGCCCCAGAGGCTGGAGCATCGATAAAGTCCGCCACATTGGAATGCGAACAATTTCACGATTGCTTGTGGCGCACATTGGCATGTTTTGCGCTCAACTCGAGAATTTTGTTGCAATTTAACGCGTAATAAAATAATTAGCTGCGGGCAGAGGTCCTCTTACTCTTACTCTCTTCTCCTTCGAAAAATCGCACACGCTGCGCGGATAATCCCTGATTAGCCTATTGCAGCGTAGGCAGGAAGTCATCGTCAAAGAAATTAACTTCAGGCATTACACTCTTAATTTTATTAGCCACCGCCCTTTCTGGTAAATTTATGGGCGTCTTCGAAACTATGTTCAACCAGACATTCTACGAGAATACTGGATTTTCCCTATCACTGAAAATATTTTCCGTAGGACAAGTTTTTGTTTTGAAATTCAAAGACATAAGTTCCACAGCCTCCACTCTACACAAACTTTTATTTTATTTTAATTTTAGGGCATGTTTATCTCATCACAGAGTAACCTTTAAATATTCCCGTGTTTAAGCTTTAATAGGAATCGACATTAGTCTGGAATTTATGCACTCATTTAGCTGCTGTATCCCCCACTTCACGGCCCATCAACCCGAAATTCCTGGCCACGCTTCTCTGATCGCTGGGGATCTTGTGGAATGGGATGGGTAGGGGGTATTGGAATGGGAATGGTCACTTCCTATCGTCCGTCTAGCTGGCAAAAGGGACACTCGAAAAGGCAGGCAGTCAGAGTCAGTCAGTTGGCGAGACAGGCCGCAGGGGTCTGGATCTGAGTCTGGGATGTTCGACTACGATTCCGACTCCCTGATGCCGGGATTCCGAATTCTGTGGACTGGTCTGTCGCGGAGACAGGGACTGAAACTTATCCAACATCGTTGACGTTGTCGTCTGTTCCTCAAGTTGTTGGCTCTTTTTTTGTTCTTGCCCATGACATGACAGCGCGGAATATGATGAAAGGGCCCGGGCAAAGAGTCAGGGTCAGGAGGAACTCAAGCTGGAGCTGTAGCTTTAGTCCCAGTCTCAATCCCATTCGCAATCCATGAGGTTTTGCGTTTTGGCATTTTTATCTCCCTGCTCGGCTGGGCTTTTGTTTAATTTGGCCCTTGTAGCTAAGCCCTTTTGTAGTCTTGCCGCTGAGTTAATCAACATTGAAATCATTTTGCCATCATTTTGATTATTGCCCCTGATTGTTTTTTCTTCCTGTAGTCTGGTTGGTTTTTTTTCTCATATATATGTCTCTGTCTCATCTCTTTGTTGAAAAGTTTTTGGAGAGCGTAATGCCTGATTAAGTTTTATATATTTGAAGGCCATAAATAATTGTCATGGTGTTTGAACTGCAAACTGGAAATACATGGCCGGCAAACATGTTTTTGGGTAGGCAGTGGGAAAGGGGGAGGGTCTGGTCTGAATGGGTTGTGTGGCAACTTCCAGAAATAATAATTGAACAATAATTCGATTTCCTTTCGCCTTTCGACTTACCTCGGAGAAATCCCGCTGCGACATCTTATTCAGCAGCTGTTCGCCAACGATGGCCAATTTGGCATTGTTCTCATTATTATTGGTGTGATTATTATTTGCATTAAAGTTTAATGGCAAATTTATAATGTTCTCATAATTCGTCATTTGTGTGCCAGCTAGCAATCATTAGGGCGCCCTCTGATCTCTGTTTCTGCAAACAAAAGAAGAGTAGACGTGGTGTTTATTTATAGAGCGGTTTAAATAAAAAAAGAAAGAAAATAATCATAAAAAAAAACAAACAAAACAAAAGCATGAGCCCCTGACAATGAGACTTTCAAATGCCAGGGATTTCTAGGGAACCAAGGGACGCCTCTTATGCAAATATTGCCCGATCCTCAGCCGCAGTCACATAAACTTGACAATTGAATGTGGCCATAAATTTGTGCGATCCACAGAACCCCCTTACCCCATTCCCCTACTTTGACAAGACACAAGTCTTCTCGGCGCACAGTGGCCTCAGCTTCGGTGAGAATTCTGTTTCCACTTTGAGTCTGGGTTTCGGTTTTTTGGTGTCGACTTTGGGTTGCGAGATTCTGATTGCGCCATTCACTTGCCAGCGGCGCCTGCCTATCATCAGCATCGGAATTGAAAACCGCCTCTTCCCTTCGAATTTGTTATCATTTAATTGGCTCGCCTTCTAGAGAAAGTTGCAGAAAGCAAACAACAACAGACTATAATTAAAATCACCGAAATCAATTAAGGCACTTTTCATAAGCGGAAATTCGCAGATACTTGAGTTGCGAATCGATCCATTCTCATGCGGCAATGGTGCGTGTCTTTTAATGGGCTTCCATTGTTGGCCAAGAAGCCATAGATACACGGCCTTAATTGAAATGTTAGGCCCCGTGACAAGAGACTTGAGTGACAGGCCTAGGAAAACCGCAGTCACCATGGATCCCTGGAAAAGTGCGTTCCCCCTTGAATACATTTCAGTGCAATACTGCAATGGAATTCTAATAAGAGATTCAAGTTAAGAGTAAGTTTCTGGAGGAATTTCAAGATTCTAATTTTATTGAGTGCACAACACTGGCCACTGGCAATTATGTTTCGCTATGCCATTTTTTTATGATCATTGCTTTGCTCTCAATTCACTGCTATCCTCGGCAAAATTGCCAACAAATAGGCATAAAAAACCTATAAACCGTAATGCATTCAGCTTGCTGTCATAAAGCGCTTATCAATTGGTCAGCGTCTGTGTGGCGGCACTTTTAACAGTTCGCTTTTATTACATTTATTGGATGTATTTCTTATTTCTTTTCTTGGCTGCTCGCCATTTTTTATATACATATATTTTTTTTCCACAATTATCATTCGTTTCTGCGATTGCAAGTTTTTGCTGGTTTTTAACGATTATGATGCCCGGTTTCATAGCAAATGAGCTAATTTAGATGCCTTAATGGTTTTATAATTGTACTTGGTCGCAGCTTTATATCGTTGGGCTTCAGTTTTTGTTTGTAAACTGGATTATGGTTTTCCAGACGTTTGGGATGGGCGAAATTTTTGCTTTTTATTTAGTTTTTTGTGCCGCTTTTTGCTTCGGAGTCTACAAGTTCGTGGCTACATATTTTCTTATAAATGCGTTATATCACCTTCTGAATGCCACTATTCTCGATGGGGGAAACACATTTTTATTGGACCAAATAAGGCATTGTGTGTAGTTTGTTGGCTCTTTTCGTAGCTAATGAACTCTAACTCTTACAGTTTATTTGCGCCTAAAAGTCAACAAATGCCACACCAGCAACAAGAACCGCTTTGAATTGCTTTTGTCAGGTCATTAGCGTTGACTAAAGTTGCCTTAGCTTAGGCTCCTTTGGAGGGGACACCACCTCTCTATCTGGCCAAGCCACTGTCACAGTAACAAAGTGTTGCAACAATCTTGCATTTGGCTACGTTGGCGGTCGTTTAACGAGCACAAAACCCAGCCCTGGGCAACATGGCAACAGCAACAACACGGTTGAGGAGGAGGACTCGTCTGCATCAACCAAAAAAATAAAAAAAAAAAACATGACCACCGACAGTTCAGAGATGGTTCAGGAGAAGAGGCAGCGGGTACGCTGAGACTTTATTACAACTTCTATAAATGATTTCCGCTATTAAAGTGAAACATTTTTGCATAATTTTTCACTTAGAAAGGACAACAAGGAACAGCACCAACGAAATCGATCAGGAACTGTAAGGGGAAGGAGGGCAACAGGGGTAACGGGGAAATTCCTCACGCTTCATGAGACCCGCCAGGTATGCCCGAAAATTCCACGCCACAACGCCTACCCAGACCCATATACCATACACTCGTGATCCGTGTTAAGGGCCCTCCTGCCAGACCTTGTTCGTCGTCATCGTCAACGTCTTCTTCGGTCGGTTTTTGATAATGCCTCGCCTCCAACTTCATCTCAAGACCCCCTCCTCCGGTTCAGCCATCTCGTAACCTGTTGAAATGTGTGACAAATTGGGCGTAAAGAGGCCTCAGTCCTTCCCCTACCCAAGATTCTGTCCCATTAAACCCCCGAGCATGAAACGTGGGCGTGACAGCACCGATTTTGGTTCAGCATTTTTTTAAATGCTTTCCTTTTGCGCAAAAGGCCGAAAAATATATTTGGTGCGTTCTCCTTGCAGAAATTGAGTCATAAATTATTATGGTTTATTACATTTTGAGCTTAAGTGCAGTTGCTGGGATGGCTTTATGCATTTATATATAGGCATAGTAAAAGAAATTCTTATCATCGGCATAACGAATCAATAAAAAATAATCAAACCCATAAAGATATCTAAATCTTTATACTAATGTTCTTAGTCTTTAAAATTTATTTTAATTCATTTCCTAGATTCGTATAGATTTCCTTAGCATTTAACGATTTGCAATTATTTTTTACGTTTATTACTATTTAAATTTATTAAGCTATGTAATTCTTGATATCTTTGATAGCTTTTGAGTAGTAGTAGTAGTTTCCTATCATAATTATCTTAAATGCTGTTGACCTCACTTTCCTTTAGAAATATAAAATACATGTCCTCCTTCTGTTAAAAGCTGTTTCAAATTGAATTTCCCAGGGTTTTCATCGCTGTCACTTTCCCCTTAAACGGCCGTGTCTTTTTCCACACGTTGGCCACTTGTTAACGGACAAATCGGCAACAAAATTAATCACACAACATGAGATGTGTTGTGGCTAAAAGGCGTTTATGTTTTTTTCCGTAGGCTGTTCGTTTCGCAGCCGTAACTGGCATGTTGTACAATTTCTTAAAAACTCATTAAAATTGTTGGCTGGCAAAAGAAACATACGAGTAGAGATACATATTTTCCCAGTTGCTGCAACATGGAAACAACATTGAATAGAAAAAGGAAACACGGCGAACGAAAGAAGAAAGATGAAGGCAGGCCAAACGAAAAGCAATTTTAATGAAGCCAAAGTCGCAGTCACTTGTTGCAGTTGCTACTGCTCTGTTGTTGCATTTGCAATTGTTTCTGTGGCAGGCCGCATTGTTGGTGCCTTATAAGCATGGCATGCATTCGTTGCCCGCAATGCGAGTGGCACGATGTAATTGACATCATTAGACTAAAGCGCAGCGGGTTCGACTAGAAAGTGGCCAGGTCTTCCACTTCCTTCCCGGCTGTGTAGCACCGTTAGCTACATTACCGTTCTATAAGCGAAACAACCCACCCACCGCAAGTTCGTGTCCTGAGTCTTTTGTTTTTTTTTAGAATTTCATGATGAAATCATATGAATAATACCATCTGCTATGTATAGAATAAAAAATTAAATAAAAATAATATACATTTACTATATTCATCAATATAACGATGTCCAACTAAAATATAACCCCTGCCCTATACTGCACCGTAAGCCCGATTACCGTTCCAACGGCCGCACGACCCACCGCGATGAGGAAAATTCCAAGGAACCCCACAGCGAACCAACGAGGGTCCAATTATGCAAATTATTAAATGAAAATAAAAACTAATATAATTATTTCGTGCTGGAAATTCGAAATCCTAATGCTATTGTCACATAAATTTGGAGTTTAAGCATTTTCGGTCGAGACTTTCGTTGGGAATTTATGGGGATTCATGCTTACCATGGAATGTGGCTGGAGACTGGAAATCTCCGGCTTTGTTCTCCACTCTCTTCTTTTCCTTTGTTTTTATTGTTTCTCGCTTTGTTTTATCACAGGCTGCAGAATTATTTGGAATTAATTTAATGGGTGAAAATGTGGCACATAAAAATGTAATTATTCGAAATTAGAGCAAACTTGATTGCGATTTTCTAACGATTAAGTTGGTAATAGGTCAATAATAATGAATAATGATCGGTTTTGCTTAATTTATACACTAAAAGTGATTAATTGCCTATATTTGTGACCGTTATTTGTCGATATTTCGCGAGTTTTGTTCAGATATTATATAAATTTGTAAAGTTATGCACCATAGTAGCCGTGGTTGCATAAATTAAAAATTCATTTTTATGGCTCTTATGTGTCATTTGGTTAGTAATTTATGTAGAATACGGCTTGGCCAACAACAAGAATCCGAAGAAGAAAAAGAAGAAGGAGAAGTCGTACACACACACGCACTCACAAACACTTATACAGTTGCGGGTCAAACAAGTCAAGCAACTTTTTTTCATCTCTTTGGCCAATCTTCGGATTGCCTTCTTTTTTCTTCTTTTTTTCCTTGTTATTAGTAGCATTTACTTAGGAATGCACCAAAGCGAGAACGTTTTGGGTAAAAATTTACAAAGGCCACAAGTGCACAATACTGAAAAAACACTTGGAAAATGCTTTTGGCCTGGTTTTTTTAAACGAAGGAGAGCGAGGAAAAAGAGAGATTCGCAATTCCCGATCTCGAACAGATGTCAAAGCCAGTGGTCGAGTTCAAAGGCCGTTGCCGAATACTTTCCAGCTTTTTGGCCCGCATTTTTCGCAACTTTACTGGCTTTTCGCTTTTTTATGTGTGTTTTGGCCTGGCCAGCAATAAATTTACAACACACACACACTAATACACACTCACTGGTCGTTTAAGTTGTTTGTTAAAACGCAATCCGGGGTTTTGTTTTCTTTGAAGCGAGTTATTTTTAAAACGGAAAATTAAAACATCTCCGTTGTGTACATATACGGATTTTATTTGAGTCGGGGAACAGCAAGCCGATCTTGGCCGAGTTTTTCTACCATTAAACGAACCGCGCGCAAAGAGAAGAAGAAACTGAATGCAAGGCGACAAAGCGATGATCGGATTTGGCTATTTTCCATTTTCTTCTTCAAAATCATTATTTTCCTTCTAACGAAAGTTGGTAACACTATTATTCAAAAACGGCACTGATCGGCCCTCTCCCTCTTGGCAGTGTTGCCATATGGTCTTATACACAAAACAAAATTATTATGTATTTGAGACCTTATTCTGAACTTAAGTAATTTGAATAGAAAATTAAATTTCAATAAAAAAGAAATTCTCTAATTTACTTTTGTAGGATTTATCACCAGCTTACCAATAAAGTACAATTTTTATTTTTATGCAAGTAAATTGGTCTTTATTATGTATTGAATATTGAATGTAAACTACGTAAGTTTTAACTTAGAATAAACGCTATATGATACTTAACCAAATTAATTTGTACCTGAAACGTTGGGTCCAAGTCATCCTACTTTTTTAAAATTCCTTTTCTCCTCCAAGGGGAATAAAAGCAGGCAGAGTCCCCAGTTGTGGACGTCGGTGGAGGCCCGAGGATCGTATTCCCTCTTTTTCTTCGTTCTCATCAGGCTCTTCCTTCTCTACGTTATCTTTGGGCAATATTGCTTCCACTAAACCTTTCTGACACCCAAAGTACCGTGAGCTGGTGGGCAAATCATCCTTTTGGGCCGGCTCTTTTGTTAACTCTGGGATGCCGATGCCAACCGGGTTGTTTCCCGATTTTGACCGCAACTTGACTGATCGCTTTGATGCCGGCTTTTTGCAGAACACGCACCTGGGCAACTCGCACTTGCCCTTGCGCTCCAGCTCTGGGCAGGCGAATTCGTGACGTTTGTTGCACTTGAAAAAGCAATAGAATTAATAGGTCGCCGAGACTTGTGAGTTAACCAACATACCTCGGCAGCTAGAGGACAGTAGCCGCGCACAAAATCAATACAGATCTCGGCCTTACGGCTGAGCTTCTTGTGCAGGTACGGACAATCCTCTCGGACGCAAACGCCGCGCAAATAGTACCGACAAACGGGCATCTTCTCCAGGGTAACATTATGGGAGAGAAGGCAGTCAGGCTTCGTGCATTCGCCGCGTAGGAAGCTGTAAATAGAGAATTTCAAAAAGGTAACCGTATTGGGGACCTCGAACCTAGAACGCCATTGAAGGTTTAGCAGTCCTCGCCTGGCCTGGGACAAACCTGACACAGATGGCGACCTGCCGCTTGTCGTGCAGCTTGCGGCACTTTCCGCGACTGTGGGCGGCGCATTTGCCCAGTTTTTGGAAGATGGCACAAGGAACATTGGTTTTTACCAACGACTTGTTGAGCAGCGTCAGACTTCTCTGCTTGGCGGTGATTAGGTGAGCTCTCGACACGTGATTCGTGGTGCGTATGAAGACGTTCTGTGTCTTGGGTGAAGCCACATAGGTAAGGCCGCCGATATCGATGCGTCGCAGGATGCTACGGTTTACGCTTATCTGGGGAGAAGCTGGTGAAGGTGGAACTCTCGTTAAACGGCAGCCAGATGGATCTATGATAAACTTATTGCCGCTGACTAATAATGTTCTTCCAGATAAGGTATGCTTCAGGATCCTGGGGCTCGCGGATTTCGATACTCCTTCTGAATTGGCATCCAGCTTGGTTATCTTGTTCTTCGATATCTTTTTGTACATTACGCCGTGTATGCTGACCATGCTAAGCGATTTGTTGACCCCAAGTTTTATTACCTGTGGCTTAGAGCTGGAAGAATTTCAATTAACAATTATTTTTATATTTAGAAGAATTTTAGTCTGGTAATCAGCATACTTTAACCTTAAATTACTTTTGAATAAATTCGTACCTCAATTTTTTTCTTGGATCCAATTCATTTGTGCGTCTCAGTGCATACTGGCCGACAAATTCCCGCAGAGGACGACGCTTCTTGACCAGTGGTGTAAAGGTTAGCGATAAGGAACGCACTAGTTTGTACCTGGTGCGTTTAGCGGGAATAGGAGGCGGATGGGGTTTGGAAACCGCTGGTGTGGCCTTGACAGCTCCTTGGCGCACAATCTTCCGCTTGGAAATGCTTACCAATGGAGGCTGAACAACGGTAGACAAAGCGGGCAAAGGATGTGTAGCAGTGGGCTTAATCGGAGGAGCTCTGGATTTCACAGGAGCCTTGCGCACCAGACACGTGTTTGCCTTGCTAATGATCATGGCAGGCGGCGGAGAAGGAGTAGGCACAGCAGGAACCGATGGTATGGGAGCATTCTGTTCGTAATAAGAGGCGGAGACCTGTTGCATCAGAAGCTGTTTCTGCTGTTCCCGCTGAAACTGTTCGTATATGGCCTGCTGTCGTTGCAGGAAGTGTGGATTGATGTGGATTGCGGGATGAGACTGCGGTGGCGCTTGGAACGGCTGGAAAGGCATTTGGAACGGCAGCTGATGCGCAGTTTGACCTTGCAGTTGGAAATTGGGATTAATGTACACCTTGCGGGTCATGGAGGGCTGTCCTTCGTCGACGCTTAAATGGGGTAACATGTCGTCACTTCCTTATGCAAACCTATTGAATGACACTTTTCCTATTTTTGGTTATTTTTCAACTTTAACACTTAAACCCTATGCTTCTTTATACTCATTATTTGTTACGTGTGTTAGTGTTACCAGATTGTGAAACTGCGATTTCGGAAATAATTGAAAAAATACTAAACAATTTAAATCAATCAATAATTTCTTTTTATACCCATTAAGAACAGATTTTAAACATTTTGTATGGCTCCAGAATAATCGTCATGCTGTCGGCTGCGCTTTTTTTTATTTAAATAAATTTTATTAAATACCATACAATGGTCCCACTGAAAAACGTTTAAAGTTTATTGTGAATGGCAACATCATATGTTCCTCAAAACGTGGACTTAATTCGTCAAGAAATTTTTTAAACGTCAATTTTGAATTAAAATGGGAAAGGACCGTGGAAGAGGGCGGAGAAACCATCATTCCAGGCCATACAATAAAACCAACTGGCGTGGTCAAAAAAAGGATCGGACGCAAAACAATGGAGAGGGTCAACGCAACAGGTTAATTCATATATTATCTTATAACAGACTTTTATTAACCGGCTTTTTTTTGGGTAGAAATATACCACAACAGAAAACCACGCTGCGTGAAAACGAAGTAGGCATTACTGAGTTCACAAATCCGGATGCACCTGGTTTCACCGGTATTCTTAAGTCACGATTTTCCGATTTTCATGTAAACGAGATTGATAGGTCTGGAAAAGTTTTGGAATTGAATGATTTAAGCGTGCCAAAAGTGGCTATTGTGGGTTTGTATATGGTAAATTCATTGTAATGTTCTCAAAGTGCTCATGTATTCTATGATATTCCAGCTGTGGCTGAAAAAGAACTTGAAAATTGGAGGAAAGAACTGGAGGCAGTGATTGGCCCAGAAGTTTGGCAGGACATAGCCAATCTGGCTGAGGCCAAAAATGATCCTAAAATCGAGCAAAAAGTTGAAATTGATGTCACTACTCTAGACAAGGAGCAGCGAACGCAAGTCCATCAATTGATCAAGCAGCTGTACAAGGGTAAGTTACTGTCCACCACGATTGGACAGCAACAGTTTAAGCCAAAGGCACAAGAAGACTCATCTCTGGAGGAGAAGGGTTCTGCTAAGGATGATGTACCAGCCAAGGAAGATCCTCAAGTACCGGCGGATGAAAAGAAAACCATAAGGATACTTAAACCTAAACCAGGACGTGGTTAGTAGAATGGCTTTATTATAAGAAACCAACCTACTTAAATATTATTTAATAGGGGACAAACGCTGGAACTTTCCCGCGGACTATGTTACTTTCTTGGTGCACAAAACAAATCTGGTTACCAGTGATGTGGCCTCAACTTTAGCCTCGCGCCTAAAGTTAGTTAAACTCCAACCGTTTTTAAATACATATTCAAGCTCTGTAAAAGACCGGAACTTCAATTAATATATCATTATTTTTCAGCTTGCGACCCTCACAGGTGAACTACAGTGGCATTAAGGACAAGCGAGCCAAAACCACCCAGAATTTCTCCGTCAAACACCGTTCACCGGAGAACATCTTAAGTGCAGCTCGCTGCCTACGTAATGTCCAGATTGGCAACTTCGGATTCCAACCCAATACCCTTAAGTTGGGAGATCTACAGGGCAATCGCTTCCGGATAGCCCTGCGACACATTGCAAAGGAGAAACGAAGCGAGATCGAGGTAGCGCTGGAATCTTTGAAGGAACGAGGTTTCATAAACTATTACGGACTGCAGAGGTTCGGCAACAGCGCCAGCGTACCAACCTACGAAGTGGGTGTGGCCCTCCTAAAAAGTGATTATAAACTGGCCTGTGAATTGATTCTGAAGCCACGGGACTCTGATTTAGAATTCATGCGTCCGATTCGAGAGGAGTGGTGGAAAAATCGCGACTCACAGGCGGCATCTGCAAAAATCCACGGCGATAAGTTTATCGAAAAAAAGCTGCTGGATGGCTTAGCCAGATTTGGAGAGTCCGATTACTCCTCAGCCTTACGGCAGATTCCACGAAACATGCTTATGCTATATCCACATGCCTACCAGAGCCTCATTTTCAATAGGATTGCCTCTAGGAGAATCAAGAAATTTGGTTTGAAGCTAATTCCTGGGGATTTGATTTATGTAGAGCAGGAACAGATGGATGGGGTGGAGCAGGAATCACGGCAGCGGTCTGAGGATGAGCAAAAGGAAGGGGAGAATAACGATGATCTCCCTGAATCCGTAGGAGACGAGGAAACTATTGAAGAAGAGTCTGTTTTTAAACGGAAGGTACGCCCGCTTACTGCAGAGGACATTGCCAGCGGCAAATTTAAACTGTCCGATGTGGTTATTCCTCTACCAGGACACGACATCACTTATCCCAGCAACGAGTGCGGTGCCTGGTACGAGGAAATGCTAGCCGAAGTGGGTCTCTCATCGGATCAGCTCAAGCACAAGGAGAAGACTTATGCTTTGGCTGGCGCTTATCGAAAGATGATTATATCGTCTAGTGATCTGAAGTGGAAATTCCGACTGTACAATACGCCAGAAGACACTTTAATTGCCTCCGACTGGGAACTGCTAAAAAACATTCCGGTCACTCCAGAGCCGACAGAGGATGAGGGAAAATTTATGGCACTATTGCTAGAATTCTCCCTGCCCACGGCTGCCTATGCCACTATGTTCTTGCGCGAACTCTTGAAGCAGGACACATCTTCAGCTTTTCAAACGCAGCTGGAAAAGGAGGCAATGTCCAAGGAGGAAAAGCAAAAAGAGGCGGTATCTCAGCAAGAAGCCAAGGAGGTGCCTATAGAGGAAGTGCAGGAATCTAAGGAGGTGGAAATGCAAGAGGCTAAGGAGGTGGAGGTGTGAGCCAATTGAGATACAAAAAATCAATATGCTTGGGAAATCAATTTTACGCGCGCTTCGTATCCAACTTCAAACCAACCACAACAATAACAATGCGCACGTGAGGACGAGGGCTGTTCTCTCACATCCTGTGGCTCGCACCCTGTTTCTCTCTTTCGGTCTCTATCTCTCTCTGTCTGCCTGGGAGAGTCCTTTTGGTCCTGTCCCTTTGAATGCGATTTCATTCGTTCGGTGGCCAGCAACGCGAAAGCTCGATACCACGCGCTGCGCAGTTTCCCCAGCTCAAAAGTCCAAGTCGCACGGTTTTCCCCAGCGTTCTGAATGAAGTGTAATATCAAATTATTAATTCACAACAAATAACGAATATCTACGGTCTCCCGAAAAATACCGGGGATCGATTTAAATCATCCAGCGAAGAGATTTAAACCAAATAATAAGCAGGAATAGAGACAAGGTGAATTACCAGTTAAATGTAGCATTTACACGTTTTGGGCGCGTATTTTGAAAAGCCATTTTAATTAGGCGTAAGTATTATTCGAAATTGAGAAATTGTTTGTAATTAAATATAAAGCGGACAAAAACGTTGAACTTACTTCCACAAGAACTGTACAATATTTTATTTTGGCCCTGCCAGCTTATTGATTTTTGTTGTGAGCTTGTGCTGAAATCAATCGATAATACGGTGTTAATACCAAGAGCAGGAAGGTCCGGGAATGGGAAGGTGGCTGGTAGGAGTAGTTCATATAGTGACTTAGTGCGTCGTGGGTTCCAGGGGGGGATCTAGTCGGCTTGAGGGGGTTGTAGTGGCATCAGTCGTTAAGGGTGCACGACTCTCCTCGCTCGTTATGTTTTTGTTTCGGCCCACCGCTCTCCCCTTTGGGAGTCCTCAAATTAATAAACTAAATGCTTGTTTTGGCGTCGTCGTTCCTTCTCCCCGCCTGATGGGGGCTTCCCCCCGATCTGATCCAGACATGGATATTGGACATGTTATTGCTTGCGCGCGCACTCTTTGACTCTTTGACCAGTTACCAGCAGCTGCGTCATAGTAGGAGTTTTTTGGCGTGGCTGAATTCGATTTTCCTTCGCCTACTACCTGTCCCCCGCCCAACCCAAAGTATTTGGCCATACAGATAGCTTGCATTACTATGTATATTATCCCCGGAATTCTTGTTTATAATTTATCTTTCGAGATAAGTATTTGCATCGCCTGGATTTGAATTTTTGATGTTTTGTCTTTTGGAGGTATGATACATTGTGAAGTGTTAATTATTGTCTTAAGATTAAGGGGAATAGATAAAGACAATAATGGATTCTATTAATAAAATTATCCTATCAATTCAGTTTTTATATTTAATGACAAACTTAAACTTATTTTTTGAGTGAATTCCCAAGAATAGAAAAATATCACTGAGATGAATTCGATGGGTAAATTATTTAAACTAGTTTGGACTCACATGCACAAATTAGAAAGAGTTCTTGATTACTAATCAGAAATATGATCATTGATGTTTGTGACTTAATAATATCCTCCTAATCCGATTTCTCTATATAACTATATCGTCGATTTGCTCATCATTGAGGGCGCGCAGATTGCATTTACAAAGGTAGGCCAGAATTCTTTTCTCGGCCTTTATCCGGTTTGCTTCTCCCAATCCTTCAAGCAGGGCCTCTATCCTTTTCTCTGCTCTAACTGGAGCTGCGGCCTGGGCAGGAGCTGGAATTGTTGGAGGTGCTGCTGTGGCCGCCACGGCCAACTGCTCATCCATGGCCTCCTGCAGCGGATCCTCTTCATCGTTGACTTCCTCTATGGATTTCAGGGAATTCCTTCTCACTTCCCCCGGATTTCTGTGATTAATTGGTTGGTGATGATGCTGCAGAAAATGCAAATGGGGAAGAAGACTCCAATCGGAGCCAGTGCCTCCGGATTTTTCTTTAGCCAACTCTCGACGCTGCTTGGCCACCAGATGATTCCACCGACTGACACAGGAGCTAACTAATTGAACATATTTGAGTATTAATTTGAGAATCTTTATATAGAAGCACCAAGTTTTGTACCTTCTGTATTTAGGGAAGTTGAGATGCTTCGCCAGATTTCCGAGTTCCTTTTTTTATGAGCTTCATAGGGCGTGCTCCTTAGTTCCCGCTCATAAAGCTTGGGATTGGCTCTCACCAATTCTATAAGTCGCGTGTCGAACTCCGACATTTCAATATTTTCAAAATAAAAACAAATGAAAATAGGTAAACAAATGGTGGCTAGCGGATGAGTATGACCGTCACTCCACCTCGTAAATATACTGCAATAAAAGCAGGGTTGTTTGACCCTCTAACTCACCACACCTGGGGTGGTGAGGTGGAAATTGGAGATTCAAATATGACCACTCCACCAACTGGCGGCATTTATTGATTTATTTATTGATTTTATCGTTTTACAGGCGCTGCATGTCGCAGAGATGGCCGCCGAAAATTATCACCTCAAGTGGGACTCGCACCTGTCCTATCTGAACTCTTCCATTGCCACGCTTTACAAGTAAGTAATATTTTAATAAACCTCTTGATTTGGATTTGAATTTCAGTTTGTTGAAACTAGAATATTTTACAGTTTTATTTACATTTCATTTTATACTATACAAAAACTACAATGCAAATGTATAGAAAATGTTTTATAGCAGCCATTTAAATACAGCTTATTTTAACAATCACAAATAATAAATAATAAATGTTTCCTAATATATAAATATTAACCCTTAATATTTTACTTTTCATTCAGAAACGAGAAGTTTGCCGATGTGGTTCTGTACAGCTCCTACAATAGCAGCGGAATCCCTTCGGATATACCCACAGTGGGAATCTCGGCCCATAAGTTCATCCTTAGTGCTTCATCTCAGTTTTTCGCCACAATGTTCGAAACGGCACCTATAACTAACCCTAACGGAGTACTCTATGTGGTTCTCCCGCCGGAGCTAAGCCACCGGGCTATCCAGATCCTCGTTCAGTACATGTACAGCGGTGAGGCTACCGTGTCCAACGACATACTAAACGAGGTCTTGCGCGGCGGAGAGATCCTCAAGATCCGCGGTTTGTGTCGCACCAGCTCTTCCAATGGTGGTGGCTCTAGCTCCGTTGTGACCACATCACACCATCCACATCCGCTTGGCGGGCATCTGCATCCGCGGGAAACGAGTGCCATGTACATATCAAATGGCACCCGTTCTGCCTTGCCACCTCCGCCGCCGCCGTCAACCATGTCGGCCCAAATTCAGGGAGATCTCTATGCCAGCAAGCCGGGAGGATCCACACGATTTCCACTTGACCACCATCACCTGTCGTCACATCACAGCCACCTTAACCACCACCCTCAGCAGCAACAATTCCGCGGCCTTGGGGTATCTGTGATGCCGAAGGATTCTCCCGTGATCATCAAATCCCCCAAGTTGGCCGCCCACACAGGACTACTTACCGTTGCTAGTAGCAGCAAACTTGGAATTTCAGTTAACAAAGAGGTGGCCATTGATCCGGAGGAGAAGTGCTGCTATGCAGCACCCGGGCAGGTGGAACCTCAATCTCATCCACCACCACCAACCTCAACGACAACGACCGGCGTCGGCGGGGGAGGAGGAGTAACTGGTGCCCCACCATCCCAGCCCATTTCAATTTGCACAGAGGTCGGTTGTAGCAGTTGCCCCATGGCTGCCGGACCAAGTGCTGATCAAGCAGACAGTACGCTGCGAAGGACAGAGTACGAGGAGCAGGCTCTTCGCGAGCGGAACGAGGTAGGACTGGTCTTTGAACGACGCCTTAGGAGGGAGAGCGCCTGTGAAAGATGTGAGTTGTTAATCACTTTTAAAACATGACTTATATAAAAAGTATTCATTTCCTAATCTCTTTTAGCTCATGACTACTATGAAGCACCCCACTTTGAGCACGTTGTGGCATCCCGCTTGGCTGTCACACCACCGTCACAGCAGCAGGCATCTCATCAGCCGACACTTCGACATCCGCACAACTTCCTTACCATCAAGCAAGAGCCGAACGACTGGAGCAACAACCCACCAAATGCCTCCAATGCGTCCAACAACAACAACATAGAGGAGGGGCCATTGGGTTCGCCCAAACAGCCACTGGACTTTAAGATGTCTGCCGTTAAGTTGGAGGTCAATAGAGATCGAGGAACACCATCCGAAGAAAATGAGGAGCATACTCTGCGCGACTACAACAACTTCAAGCAGGTGCTGATCTGCGAGATATGCCAGAAGTCCTTCGATGACACCAAGATGCTTGTACGTCATTTGGGTACACATGCTGGAGATCCGGCGGGCGGCACGGAGAGGAACCTACTGCCATCCAGTGCCAGTGGGAGTACTGCTACAGCTCCCAGTAATCTTGCCCTGCGAACAGTCAAAACCTATGTGCCAAAGAAACGACGCCGAGTTTCGGTTAGTGGTGATGATCTTAACTTATCAATTCAGAACTTCGAAATGTATCTAAACTTTTAAACAATTATTAATATTTTGTAGCAACAGGAGAACAATATGGATCACGATCACGTTACCCTGCTCTGCGATTTGTGCTCCACGTACGTATAGTTAGAAAAAATCATGAAAATAAGAGATATCTCATACATTTCCCTTTTCTACTAATAGATCCTTTGACACGCCCGCGGAGTGGGTACGCCATATGAACAGCCAGCACACGGAGATCGAGTTGGCCATGTTCAACAGCAAGAAGGATGGCGAGCAGAAGGGGTGTGTGTCCTAAGGGCTAGCAAAAGCACTCTGATGAACTCTGTTCATTTGCAGCCAGAAGCAACAGTCGGCGACCAGCAGCTCTTCCACAGTGTCCACCAGCCAAATACAGTCAAAGTATTCCAGCTCCAGCGCCACGCGATCAACGCAGTCGTCCCTCATTCTGCACAAGATGAGCAACATCGATGCAGTGGCATCTGCAGCCACATCCACATCTCCTAGAGCATCCACCTCACCGAATGCCTAAGGCCATCCATCCAAATCCCAACAGGGACCCATGGGTTAAGATACTAAAGCCGTCATAAAATCAAATGAATGAAATCAAGTCCATGGGCTCAACGGATACAGCCAGATCAAAACACTACTTTGTTCGATAAATTCAAGTCGTTCCAGTAATCAAAAGAGGGATGTTTATAATGCAACAGCAAGAACCGTGATCAAAATGCAAAAACTTTGCATATTTTATAGAGCAACAAACAAAATACAAAATCGGAAAAAAAAATTTAACGAAACTTTAAACGAAACATAGAATCGGAATCGTCAGGCAACGATGGAAAACAACAAAAGAAATTTGAAATCGAAAATGAAAAAAAGTTTAACTCGAGTGTGTAGAATTTTTTTAAGTGTACGTAATTAATTAGTTTTAGCTACTTACTCCCCATGTAATTATTGTAACAACAACGCGCAATTGATAAGCAAAGAGATGACTATACAAGTTAATCATTGGAAATGTACGAGTAAATTTGAATTTGAATCAGCGGACATGGTCAAAAGAAAAACCTTACTTAAATTAAACTCTCATTTTGATTTATTTTCCAAAGGATTAGAACGATAACATTCTATTTGTAGGACCAACAGTACGCGAGTAGAGCAGCGAATATAATATTCTTTATTACTTGCTCTTGCTTTATTTTTAAAATGTAATAACTGATAACTATTTTGTATGACGCTATCGCGGATTTATGATGTCAGCAACTCTGTTGTATATGTACTTGTACTTTTTAAATATTTTTGTAAGGATTCAACCGAAATTTCGAGAACTTTTTTGTATAATAGAATAAGTTTTATTTTAAAAGTCCGCCGATCGAAACTTTTTGTGAAAAGTTCATAAACTTAAATCTCTTAATGTATGTGTGTAGTAGTTGGAAGTTCAATTAAAAACAAATTCCCCCCAACCATGTAAAAATCTAATATATATACCAAATATATTTACAAACAGGCGTGATTATTAACAAACTAAGTAGATGTATAAACAAAGCAGGAAGAAAACTGTTTCTTCCCCCAAAACAAATCGCAAATGTAGCAAAACGTTTTAAATTTAAATAAACGACTACGATGAGAAATCGTTTTTAAACGCGATATCGAAGAGCACACAAAAACTAAGAGTCATGTTGCAAAAAGCTCGCCTGCGATTGGTAAGTTCTCCAACATTCCACAGAATTTACAACAATTTCATCAGTTGTCACATATGGGCAAAATTCGACTGATAATTTATTTGGGAATATACTACTATACTTGATCACGATTTTCGATATCAATCATGCACCAAAAGCGTGATAATACTGTTGAAAGATATATTTTTCAAATCACATTGCCTTAGCTATTGTTTTCATTATTATTTGCCATCTCAGATATGGTTCTAAACTTCTTACTTTTTTTTATTTTTCGCAGCAACAGGAGAACAATATGGCTCACGATCACATTACCCTGCACTGTTTAAGCTAGAATGTTTAAAATATATAGTAGACTTGTAAAACAAAATTTCAATCCGCTTCTATATATTTGCTGATAAGATGTCACAGCAAATGACAACCGTGGGTGACTTGAGTAATATTGACCAGCTCATCCTGCGCATTATTGACACTCGTCGTTTGAAGCAGCTTAATTTAACAGAAACTGATATACGGCTAATATGTAACAAATCTCGAGAAGTTTTTATGTCGCAACCCATGCTGCTTGAACTTTCGGCTCCGGTAAAGATCTGCGGTGACATACACGGTCAGTTCTCGGACCTTTTGCGTCTGTTTGATTATGGTGGATACCCACCAGCCTCCAATTACCTCTTCCTTGGAGATTATGTGGATCGGGGGAAGCAGTCAATCGAAACCCTGTGCCTATTGCTGGCTTATAAAATTAAATATCCAGAAAATTTCTTTCTTCTTCGCGGAAACCATGAGTCGGCTGGAATCAACCGCATATATGGATTTTACGATGAGTGCAAGCGGCGTTACACTATTAAGCTATGGCGTACATTTGTTGATTGTTATAGTTGTATGCCCGTATCGGCCATTGTCGACGAGAAAATCTTTTGCTGCCATGGCGGACTAAGCCCTGACTTGTTAAATATGAATCAAATTGGACAGTTGGCCCGACCTTGTGATGTTCCTGACAAAGGATTACTTTGCGATCTCCTTTGGTCCGATCCAGACCCTAAGATAATGGGATGGAGCGATAACGACCGCGGCGTCAGTGTCACCTTTGGTGCTGACATAGTGGGCAAGTTCGTGCACCGACACAAATTTGATCTCATCTGTCGTGCCCATCAGGTCGTTGAGGATGGTTACGAGTTCTTCGCTAAGCGTCAGCTAATTACTATATTCTCAGCACCCAATTACTGCGGAGAATTTGACAATGCAGGCGCTATGATGTCAGTAGATGAAACATTGATGTGCTCGTTTTACGTTCTTAAGCCTTCGAAAAAACCAGGCTTGCGCAAAATCCACTCGAAGAGTTGAAATTAAAATAATGGGATGATGTTTTAATATTTGTATCAGTACCTTGGTTTACAAACAAGCCGTGTGACATAAAAATTTTACGTTTTTAATGCAAATTTAAATGTATTGCACATTCTGTGGTCATGTGTTCCAGTCAGTTTTGGCTGGGAACTGTAAGATAAGGTGGTGAGAATGTCATGCCATAGTAGTTTGTATTTTGTGTCCATTCTAATGAAAAATAAAATAAGAATAATATTATGGAACTTATGGTTTATAGAACTAGAAAGATTATAGATTATTATTTATTAACCAGAGAAATTCAATTTCGTTTCAGCAGCTTCCCACGCCTACTTTAAGATTTAAAAATTTTTCAGTTATGAACAGCGAACTGAGTCTTTTTTTCTATCAAAAATAAACTTATGATAAACTCTAAAATAAGTCTCTAAAGTAACTCTTAAGTCTACAGGCTTATGTTCATCTTTTTAGTTCATACAGTCATACATAAAGAGCCCAAAGTTCTTTGCCGTTTGTGCGGCAAATAGTCGGTTGGCCGGTAGTTGAAACTTTCTAATTTCATACTCTTTCTAATTTCGTACTCTTTCTTTCCCCATCAGAAATCACAAATATAGCAAAACGCAACTACGATGAGCAATCGTTTTTGAACGCGATATCAAAGAGCACACAAAACTAAGAGTCATGTTGCTAAAAGCTCGTTTGCGATTATTTTCCAGCTTTATACATAAATACAGAGCGGCGTCAAAGAGAAATTCAGTTTGGAATCAAACTTCGAGTTGAGTTCAACAATTAAGTGAATTTCGTTTCTACTGCGCTTTAAGTTTTTGCAAAAATCTATAATGAGTTCTGGTAAACATTTGGCTAAAGGTAAGAGAAAAAGTGACGTGTTGCCGGTGGTAAGAGAAACGCCCAAGCCAAACCCAAACAAGTTCTACAACATTCTACTGACTTTACAAACAAAATACTTTATAATTTCATCATTTGTCATACATAAAAAGTTTTAGAGATAAATTATTTGGTGGATAGTTAATATACTAGATCACGATTTTCAATATCAATCATGCACCTAAAACGTGCTAATACTGTTAAATAATATATCTTTATAAACTTCACATAGACATTTCTTGGCACAAATTTTTTGGCACAAATCATGAAATATAGCTTTAAAAAATATTCCTGATATATCAGATTTTACTTCGATCTATTAGCATCAAATAAACCATAATATTTACACTTCATAAAGATAACTTATCAACGAAATGTTTGCCATATCACGTCTGGCCGTATCAATTTTGAGTCAATGACTTGCTATACGTGAAATACAGGGACGGATTGAAGATGATTCCGACTTTTAATCGCTAACTTTATAATACTTCGACATCGCCATACTTGAAACTTTCACTGATAAATCCTTATTTATAGGTTCCGCCAAGCCTGTCCTCCCTGAAGACGGTCTTCTTCGCCTGTTCTCCATGAGATTTTGCCCTTATGCCCAGCGAGCCCATCTCGTGCTAAATGCTAAGAAAGTACCCCATCATACTGTGTACATTAATCTCACCGAGAAACCAGAGTGGCTGGTGGATGTGAGCCCTCTGCTGAAGGTTCCAGCCCTCCAGTTGGTGGAGGAGAAAGGCCAGCCCTCGTTGATTGAATCGCTGATAATTGCCGAGTATCTGGACGAGAAGTACCCAGAGAACCCTCTCCTGCCCAAAGATCCATTAAAACGGGCCCAAGACAAGATTCTGATAGAGCGCTTCAGTGGCATTACCAATGCCTTCATGAAGATCTTGACACAGGGAACCGGTCTGGAGGATTACTGGACGGCACTAGACATCTTTGAGCAGGAGTTAACCAAGCGGGGTACCAAATTCTTTGGGGGCGACAAACCAGGATTCGTGGACTACATGATCTGGCCCTGGTTTGAGCGCCTCTCTGTGATCGAGTTGAAACTGCAGGGAGAGTACAACTTCGACGAGAAGCGATTCCCCAAAATTACCCAGTGGATTGCTCTTGTGAAGGAGGACTCGGTGGTCAAGTCTTTCTACGCCACTCCCGAGCAGCATAACGAGTTCTGGAGGACCCGCAAGGCTGGCAATGCCAACTATGATCTGCTGGCTTAGATCATTAGTTAAAAATATTTTAAAAAGAACGAGATTTAAACACCTAATTAATTAAAATTTAAATATCAAATATATGAAAAATAAAAACATTTTAGACATTTAACATAAATAAACATTTTTGATTAGTTAAAAAAAGGGCTCTGTTTAATTTGAATAGCTTTCATTTACATAAATAAATCAAAAATTATATTTTATATTAAAGTATATTAACTTTTTCCTGAAATCCACTCCAAAGGTGCATTACTGTATCCACCCGGTTGGATATGTGTGTCAGCCGCAAAGGTTGCTTCGGCCGCCAAGTTCAGCCGGGTAAGAGGATCCAACTGGCGAAGGGCAGCCATCGGCTCTTTATATACCATACGAATGGCAATTGCTATCATCACTTGCATCTCTAGACCCGAGCACGCAGATCATGAGCAACGGCAGACATTTGGCTAAAGGTATGTATTTCCAGAAAGCTAAATATCCATGGATATTAAACAATCTGCCCTGACAGGCTCACCCCCGCCGGATGTGCCCGAGGATGGTATCCTTCGCCTTTACTCTATGCGCTTCTGCCCATTCGCCCAGCGCGTGCATCTGGTGTTGGATGCCAAGCAGATCCCTTACCACAGCATCTACATTAATCTCACAGAGAAACCAGAGTGGCTGCTGGACAAGAATCCGCAGGGCAAGGTACCAGCTCTAGAAATTGTAAGAGAACCAGGACCACCTGTGCTTACGGAGTCGCTATTGATCTGCGAGTATCTGGACGAGCAGTATCCATTACGTCCGCTCTATCCGCGTGATCCTCTTAAGAAAGTTCAGGATAAATTACTGATTGAGCGATTTGGAGTGGTGCTTGGTGCCTTCTTTAAGGCATCGGACGGCGGTGAATTAGAGCCCTTCTGGAACGGCCTCGACACCTACGAAAGGGAACTGAGCCGTCGGGGTACAGACTTCTTTGGTGGTGAACAGACAGGAATTTTGGACTACATGATCTGGCCCTGGTGTGAGCGCCTCGAGCTTCTAAAGTTGCAGCGTGGTGAGGAATACAACTACGATGAAAGCCGTTTCCCTCAGCTGGTAAGTTGATCTTAAGGATTCTTAAGGTATGCAATTCAAATATTTTTCCAGACCTTGTGGCTGATACGCATGAAGCGTGATCCGGCTGTGATGGCTTTTTACATGGAGGCTGAGGTTCAAGCTGAGTTCCTGCGCACGCGTAGCTTGGGCCAACCCAACTATAATTTGCTTGTGAAGGATGCCTGATGCAGCTTGGTTTATTTAAATGTTTAGCTTGGAATGAATAAAACTTTAAGGCAGTCCAAAACCAGTTCCTAAGATTTGATTTTGGCTAAACCTGTTGGCAATCTAGTACTTGGCTTTGAATGCTATATCATACTGGGGATTGCCAAGGGTCTTGGATTTCTGGAACTCGGCATGCAGCTGGACATCCAAAGCAGTCTTCTGTACTGCCTCATCTTGAGCCACCAAATCGCGCCACTTCAGCTGCAATGGTTGCGATTATGGTTATAAATCTTCATTAGGAGTGATAGATTAACATACCAGTTTCCCAAATCTATTTGTATTGAGCTCATATTTCTGCTCCGAGGTGATTTTCATGCTGGGAAAGCGTTCAAACCAGGGCCAAATCATGTAATCCACGATTCCAATGGTCTGCCCGGCAAAATAGGGAGTTCCCCTTTTCGCCAGTTCTACTTCAAAAACATCCAAAGCATTCTCGAACTTTTCAATAGCATCTGCTGGGGCATTCGGATTACAGGTTAGGACTGGGTAAATGGCACTGACCACCGGAGCAAAGCGTTCAATGAGAATCTTGTCTAGCGCTTTCTGAAGGGGATCAGTGAGAAATAGTTGGGGTTGGGGATACTGCTGGTCCAAGTACTCCGCAATGATGAGAGATTCCACAAGAGTAGGTTGATTCTCAATACCAGCGAGTTGCAGGGCGGGAACTTTTCCCAGAGGACTGTAATCCTTGTACCATTCTGGCTTCTCAATTAAATCAACGTAGATCTTGTGATGTGGGATCTGTTTAGCAGCCAGTAGTAGGCGAACTCGGTGGCTGAAGGGGCAGAATGCCATTGAAAAGAAACGTAGGACGCCATCTTCAGGTAGTTCCGGTTTGGTAGAACCTGTAAAGTCAAGAATAGATGAATAGTTGGCAAAGACGAAGTAGTTACCCTAGTCCCGATTGAAGATGAAAAGATGAGGTTTTGTGGTCGAGTGCATATAGGTTTAATATTTTCTCGCTGAGCGTTTTCACATTCAAATTTTAAGTATCTTGAATCCTGTTGTACAGGTTCTAAATATCAGCCAAATTTTGGATCCCTTACAAGGGCTCGAAGGCGACGTCGTAGTTGGGCTTGGCCTCATGGCGGGTACGCATAAACTTAGCATGGATTCTGGCATCCAAAGCGGTGGCCTTTACAGCTTCATCTTGGGCCGCCAAATCGCGCCACTTCAACAGATTCTGATAACGCGTCTTGTCCAGCTCGTAGGGTTCATCCAGAGAGTACTTAAGGGCGGGGAATCGCTCAAACCAGGGCCAAATCATGTAGTCAACAATGCCGATCTTTTCGCCACCAAAGTACGGGGTTCCCCGCTTGGTAATCTCCTGCTCAAAAACATCCAGAGCGGTCTCGAAGTTTTTTATGGCATCTCCCGGTGGGTTCTTGGTGAAGAAGACCGGGTAGATGGCACTGACAGCGGGAGCTAGGCGTTCAATGAGGATCCTATCAAGTGCCTTTTGTAATGGATCCTTGGGGAAGAGGGAGCCCTCGCCGGGATACTGCTCATCCAAGTACTCGGCAATGACCAGGGATTCCACTAGAGCAGGTTGTCCTGGCAGCTGTGGCAACTGGATGGCTGGCACCTTGCCTAGTGGACTGTAGTCGATGTACCACTCAGGTTTCTCGCTGAGATCAATGTAGACCGTATGATGAGGAATCTTCTTGGCGGCCAGAACCAAACCGGCACGCTGGGAATACGGGCAAAACCTCATCGAATAGTAGCGCAGGACTCCATCCTCGGGAATTTCCGGTTTGGGAGAACCTGTTGATGGGGTATTTGTGACGTCAGCGGAAAGTTTTCCATTATGCTTGGGCTAAAATTAAATCTCTATCTGCTGCTAATTTACACTTCTTATGGGGGGTAGATAAAACTATGGAATCAATTGCTAACTTTTGCCGCGTCACTATCCCATTGACCTTGAAGTGCCCCGACTCACCCCTCTTGAAGTGCTTCTGCGGCAGGGCCATTTTGTTAACAACTTGAAGATAATTCCTTAAACGAGAAATGTTGGTAGCCAAAATAGTTCCAATCGAATGACAACGAATGGAGATTTGATGACCTTATATAGTGGTCGCAGACGCTGGACGGACGAATATATCGAATAGGAATAACGATTGTTGCCCGGGCAATTTAAAATGAAACCCTAAAAAAAATGTAATCTTTCATATTGTGTCTATTATAAAACCTTTTTATTTAAAGTATTAAAACCCTTTATTGATCAAACCTGTTGAATATTGAAAGGTATTCTTTTAACAGGGAAAATGTAAATATTTATTTTTCAATCACAATAGTGCTGTCATATGTACATCTAAACTCAATTTGAAATATATATACAAATAATGATGTGTAACCATTTTCTTCAAAACTACTCTAATTTAACGCGCTTGGCCTCATTGCTAAAATAAAGAAAATTAGTTTGATATGCATTATATAGGATTTAAAAACGTACTAGAGCATATTGTAATCAGCATTGCCCGCTCGACGGGAACTCATGTATTGGGCATGGGTCTTTCCATCCAAATAGAAGCACTTGACGGCTCGGTCCTGTAACATCAAGTCGCGCCATTTGATCTGAAATATATATCTTGTTCAAGCTCAAAATGATTTTTAAATCTATCAAAACCCACCAATGTAGTAAAACGTTCAGGATTTAATTCGAATCCATCACCCAAGGCAACCTTCAAAGAAGCAAAACGCTCGCACCAGGGCCAAATCATATAGTCCAGCATTCCCGGGCTTGATCCACCAAAGAACTTAGTCCCACGCTGCTTAAGTTCCTCCTCGTAAATGTCCAGCCCGGCGTAGTGATCAGTGTTGCCCAGCTGGTCGGGATTTTCATGAATCGCAAGTCGGTAGAAGGCAGTGATAAATTGCCCAAAGCGCTCGATCAGAATCTTTTCCTGGGCCTTCTTTAGCGGATCCTTAGGATAAAGCGGTACCTCAGGATACTTCTCGTCCAGGTAGTCGCATATGATGAGCGACTCAATCAGGACGGGATTTCCCGGTGCTTTGACCAGCTCTAAGGCAGGAACCTTAGTAGAGCTGCTCACCTGGTGGAACCATTCAGGTTTCTCGCGAAGATTGATATAAATGCTGTGATAAGGCAAATTTTTGGCGTCGAGAACAAGGTGCACGCGGTGAGCATAAGGGCAGAAACGCATTGAATACAACTTCAAGACTCCATCATCCGGGAATATGGGCTTCTCCGAACCTTCATTATATATTTGCGTTTGAAATAAACATTTTAGATTGTAGTTGGCAGTACTAACCTGTGGTTAAATGCTGAGTATCGCTCATTTCGCAAAAAATTAATAACCTGTTGTTTTTATTTATCGAACTAATCGAAGTTTGACTAGAAAGTGAAAGCTGCTCGATTACCAATTATCGAACATTTTTTGAGTTGATTACAAAAAAACGAACAGATATTAAAAATGAAAGTCTTTACAATACAAAGCAGTAGATTACATTTTATTTTGATAAGATTTGTCTTGCATTTTTAATTTTAGAACACTTTTAATTTAAGTGATTTATGTTTAAAAAAATCCAAAGTCAGCAAATGCATACGATATTTTTAATATATATTTTAGCTTTTATTTTGAAATTAAAAATTTAGCATATCACCATTAAAAATAATACTAAAACCAGCTAACTCATAAAATATACCAAAAAAAGGAATTTTTAGCGGTATGCGGCAAATGGTCACTCTGCCCCAACTGCCTATCGATAATTGTTATAAAAAATTTGTTATAGTTGCGGATTTTTGTGTTTGGCGGTGTGTGCGAAAGAGAGATGGATACGGCATATGTTTAGGAAGTACGAAAAATGTTTACAGTTAGACCGCCCCTTGCGTAATTGAGCCCGTGTTGGTGTTGGTGGCCGTTTCCCGTAACTCGTATCCGTGCAAATCTCGCCGCTCTGTTCGGATTCCATTCAATTCTCCTTGTTTAACTGAGATTATTGCAACGTGATTGACTCTCGGCGTTATCTCGACGGCGCTTTTAATTCACGCCCACCGCATCGGCTAAAGCTACAGCCCTAAAATCGTCCAACATTATCTACGATCTCGCAATAACTCTAGGAATTGTTTGAGTGTGTGTGATGTGCTAAACAGTCCGGCAAATTCACGGGTGAGTTCGTAGTTGCTGTATTACTTACAGACCTTCGTGATTAATCTTGGTCTAAGTTGAGAGTAAGGGGAATGCATTCGACAGGCCCCCCATCCCAACAACCACCCACTGTTCCACCCACCACCCACTCTTGTTTATTTATAGCGGGACATTTCCATGTGCGAGTGATTTTGACACCCGCTCACTTACATATGGATGTATATGTGATGTACACTCACATACACAGATGCACACGTAACTACACTGATATTCAGCACGTTTTTATGCTATTTTCGATCGGCATACTTATAGTCATTGGTATGTTCTCTACATAATTCAGCGCAATTTCAAATGCCATTTCCATTCGCTATCTTCAGAGCCTAATTACGCAAAATCAGTGGAATTAGTAGTAGCAAACGGGCCAGAACGCTTATCGAACAGTGGCGGGGCTAAAAAAAAATTATACTAGGAGATAACAACATATTCTCAGGAAGAAGTTCCACGTGTTAAAGGTGTACATTTACACAATTACAACTTATGAATTATTAAATTCCCAAGCTAAATAAGTCAATCCCCATTACGATCCGCCACTGTTATCGCCTCTGACCCATATATCATCATGTGTTTCTTTCGCACTTTTGGCTGCCTTCCACATACTTTTGTTGTTCATATGTGTAGGTGGGTTCATGAATCATAGATAAAATGCCGGTGGCGGCCAGCAGAAGAATCCTTATCGACCTAGAACTTTTTCATTTCTCCATTTTCCGTCCGGCGCCAATCAATTATTCATGAGCCAGCGCAATTTGCAAAACTGATATTTGCAAATAAAAAATATGCAATGATAAACACCGCCTTGCAACCTGGCTCCGTCATTTGGGGCAACCAGCAGTAACTTGATACGGAAAACAAACAATTCTCAACGAACTACGATCAGATGAATTATTTATCGCATATGGCCAGCCCTTCAACATCAGTTATGTGTCAGTGGTTGTACTAACTGAATACTAAACTGACCGTCCACGTAATTCAGCAGTCGACGAGCATGGCAAGGTCAGAGCCTCGTCCCGTGTCCGGATTCAATCGAATTGGATTGAATCCGTAACGTTCCGAATCCGACGTGATCGACCTCTGCAAATTCGAGTTTTAAGTGCTTCTATCCCATCCAGAACTTCGTTTTCATTTGGCCGTCACATGACTTGAGTCTTTTTCATATCTCCCCAACAAGACTCTACTGAAATTTCACATCAAGCTCTTGTTGAACGATTTACTGGCTCACTGAATGAGCGAAAAAGGTAAAAAGAAGATAATACCCATGTGTCTGAGTGTTTGGGTTCTTAGATACACATTTTTGCAGGTTATTTGCCTGGAGTTTCAGGTATGAAATTAGTTTGTGAAGAGGTTAAGATAAAAGATACATTTTATGGCAGGTAGTAAGGGTACCTCAAGTGTACACCTATGTAGATGTCTGGTTGAAATTTCAGGCCCAGCAATCTAAAGATTACGTCAGCTTTGAGTATATATATGTACATATGTACATATATAAATCGTGTGAGAAGTTTTACGAGCCCGTTCCCAGGTTTTCGCCGACTTAGCGCAATTTCAGGTCGTTATATAGTGAAAATGTGATATATAATAGTGCTGTGCCAAGGTTCCAAACGTGGAGATATAATGTGAAATTTATTTCGGTCGAATGACTAATCAAATTATGGGGTTCATTTATCGTTTGTACTTTGAGCGATCGCATGTGAAGTTTCAGCTTTTTTGGGGTAGATGCCAAGCGAAATTTGATTATGCGAACTAAACATAAAAAGGAATTGGGTTCCAGGAAATTTTACTCTATAAAATGGGGGTTTCATGCTGAATTCCATTATGTTGACTCAGCAGCATGTGCCAGAATTTCACAATTTGCGAAATAAAGAGCACCCTGTTTATCAAATTTGAGCATCGTGATCTCTTGCTATGACAAGCGAAATTTGATTTGGGGAATGTGTCTCAATATGAAAAATACCACCTCAAGCCTTTTATATTGCAATAGAATATAGGATTATTATTATTTATTTATTATTATTGCATATTTTTTGTTTATTTTTGTTTTTTGTTTTGTGATTTAGCCCAGCTGCCTCTTTTTAAACCATAAAAAATAATATTTAAAGTTCCTGAACCAAAATAGACTATAATTTTCCAACACAATCAAACTGAATGAGGGAACTTTTAAGTTTATTAAAAAGCTATATATAGTTTTTGAAAATGATCAGTGAAAAAGATATGATTATAGAAGTATAAAAGTGATGCAGTTTTTGAAATAATACCATCACATCAACATGTATATGCAAATTTAAAATTCAAAATCAGCGCATATAATCAGGTTTTTTAATTGTGAATTTTTAGTAAATGCAACATTAATCCTTTTAGTTAACCAAACTTCAATCTTTGCGTTCTAGCGTTCTGACGTTCACCTCGCTGTTTGCCATGGTCCAAAATCAGCCACGCCCCGCCAAGTTAGAACGCCTTCGTTGTGGGTATGCTTTAATGTGGTCCGCAGTCATATATATATATATATATATTTGAACGCACACTCACTCAATTAGCCGACAATGAAACTGGCTTATAAATCGAACCGCAAGCGACGCGCGCCGCTCAGTTGCAAAGCGTTTGCAAAGCTAGCTGGTGTTTGCGATCGGTTTGGTATTCTTCCAATTAGTTCTTTTCGGTACGATTAATATACAAGTTATTTTAAAATATGTTAAAATAAATTTATTATCAATGTGAAGCAGAAGAAAGTGAAATGAATTAAAAATGCCCTTCGCTCCAAAAATGTATGCATTTAGCATTGAAACCAGATCGTTAAACATTTTTCTCCCAGTGGTTTCATTAAAATCACGCGAACAGAATTTAAATGAGGCTTGATTACTAAAAAAAAGATATAGTAAAAACAATCGAAATACAAACGAAACAGTCAGTCAATGGCGGCAGCACTTGACCAATTGACTGAGTTCGCTGGATTGATTGGGGGAATATTGCCGATGAATCGTATCTGATCTGATTTGGGGAATTTGTATGCAAATAATTTGTTTCGTTGATTGATTTTTATTGCCCTGAAATTAAGTTTTGTGCCTTCGCGAATCCCAGTGGCAGTTTGGCAGTTAATTTCCTCAACAAGTGCGAACTCTTCAGCCTCAACCTTTAACACTTAACCCCTTTGCCAAGGCGACGTGTGTCCTTGTCAATGCCGCGCGGGTGCAATGACAGACCGCCCACTTCCTGCGACCTTGAGGCCATCCATTTTATGCAACAACAATGACGTTTCTATTATTACCTTTTAGTGTTTTGGCTTTCGCTTTTATTAAGTCGATAACCAGCGAGACACCCACGTGTATCTGTATGCCTCAACACCCCTACCTCTCCCCTTCTCGTCTTCTCACCTGTGTCGTAAATTTTCGCCAAAGTTTTATCAATAAATTGGATTTCAATGCAGGACCGTTGAACTAACTGCCCAACTTGGCTGTGGCATTAATGCGCAATTGCAAAATTGTCTGAGTCCCACACAAAAACCAGCAACAACTACAATAACAAGTAGTTAGAGCCAACTATGTACAATAACAAACTAATTTTCAGTTAGTGTGAGAGGGGAAGAGAAATTTCCAAGTCCCGCCTGGCGAATTTCTTTTTTGGCGCGTGCCACTCGTAGTTTGCTCATCGAAGAAGCCGCATGGCATCAACCACTTTGGCTCCCGACTAGGAGCTAAAAACTAGTTGGCTGATAAGCAGTAGTTAGTAAATACCCATTGTGATTATCGTTGTGCAACTTCGCATCTTCTGTTTTTTGTTATCAACAAATGTGAACACAGAAGTAGCCGAATAATAAAACATTTTGATTCTGGCATTGGAGGGTTGTAATACCCATGGAATATGTGATTGTGATTTGGAAAACCAAATGCTTTGATAAGAAGTAGGAATGTTAAGTCAATGTAGATTGAGTGGAATTTCCAAAGTGATAAAAGTCTGAAAACTTTAGTTTCTACAAGAAATGATGTTGCAAGACTACAAAGATTTTTATGAGCTTTGATAATTATTATAAATAGTGACATTAAACGTATGAGTTAATGTGTTTTTAATGCCTTAAATAACTTACTTCTTGTAGCAATTTCAAACACGATTAATTAATTTGATAATAATTTCCAAATACCGAAAACCGCAAAGCTTAACAAGCTTGAGTGTCAAGTTAATAACTGATTGAAGTGATCTATATCCCTATTGCCATACCAGAAGAACTCATTGTTTAAATGCAGTGAAACCTCCCATCTATGGTGATCTTGGGGCACCTGAAACCAGTCGGTTGTTTAGACGGCTCGATGTTCCATATTTGGAGGTGTCGATCCACCAACGAACGATCTTGAACTTCCGCTTTGGTTCGCTGACTATTTTGGTTATGCAATGGGCAAATGGCCTTTGTAAGTGCCTGCGATCGTTTCGGATCGGCAGTGCCTTAATTTGTGTGGGATGGTAACAAGGGGATGACCGTATAGCCCCATAAACGATTTTTAATCAGATAGAATTTTGTGTTGGTTTTGCAGTACTTGTTTTCGTTTTTGACTAATTTCTTGCTGACTTTTGCGTTTAATTCCAGATCGAAATAACAGCGCGAATTGACATCTGACTGATCGACGGATATATAATGATCGTGACAGATCTTGCTGGGCAGTAAATCGTAACGAGAGTCAGAGTCATTAGCATTAGTTCTAGGAGTGGAAGTACAAGAGCAAGTCGGGCCTAAAAATGGCACGACACATTATGGCTGTTTGCGTGGTGTGCCTTCTATGTGCGCACCGCCTGCACTGCCAGGATCATATTGAGAGTCTACTGGGCCCGGCGCTGGTCATGACCCAAAGCCAGGAGCAGCTCAACGCCCGCGTCTATACGAACCTGAGTCCCTCCAGTGAAACCACCGATCGGCGACAGCAGCGATCCGCTTCTGGCGACGACGACACCCCCAACTACAGCACCAGCCCGCCATCGAGGAGACAAAAGCGCCATGCCGGCCACGAACACGGTCATCACTCCGAGTCCCGCGTCCCACAAATCACCCAGTACTATCTCGAGAAGCTGATGGTCCAGAACGATCTGATGAACAACAGCGGATTCGATGGCCTGCTCCAGCAGCTTAACCTTCACTCGTTGGCGAGTGGGGCAAGTGAAGGAACTGTGAGTATAGGGAGCTAGAATCTTCTTCTTGTTGACTTACTCTATGTTCTCTTATTCCCCTCGCAGTGTGTGCCCACTAGTCGCTTAGTGCACCATGTCCAGCCTCATGATCATCATCACCATGACCATGACCATGACGAAGAGGAGGAGCACAATAGTCTGCAGCTGACCAACTGTACATTAAGCCAGAATGGCACCAGCTCCAACGATATGTGCGCGAACCTGCTTAACAATAACACACACCTACTCAGCGAGGAGACGCAAAATTTTACGCTGAGTGAAAAGGACTTGCTCCATTTATGTCCGATTCTTCTGTACGAGCTGAAAGCCCAAAGCGGCGGATGCATAGAGCCGGCGGTCTTATACGATATTGATAGCACGGAAAAGCTGCTGGAAGACGAGAAAGACAAGGATATATTCTATGGTGAGATTGACTATATCATATTCCATTTTTTCTTTACTTATCTGTATCTTCTCATCCAGTGTGGGTATATGCCTTTATATCCGTGTTTGCCTGCGGCATCCTCGGCTTGGTAGGAGTGGCCATCATACCGTTTATGGGTTCTCGGTATTACAAATACATCATCCAGTATCTGGTTTCCCTGGCAGTAGGTACAATGACCGGCGATGCCCTACTGCACTTAATGCCTCATGTGAGTAGAGCTGATAAAGCCACGTACTTTTCCGTAAGCCATGACTAATGTATAACTTCCGATTTATAGTCTCTGGCAGGCCAGGATGAACGGGGGATGATCATGAAGGGACTGGGATGCCTGGGCGGCATCATCTTCTTTTACGTGACGGAGCATGCGTTGACCATGATATCTGAGTGGCGCAAGAGCGTAGAGAAAAAGGAAACGAAGAAGCCTTCGCGTGCGAAGGTTATGCGGGATCCTGATTCGTCGGTAAACAACTCGGTGGCCGGCGACAAGATCTGCAAGCAAAAGTATAGCTCATATCCATATTGTTATGACGAGATCACCATGAACAACAAGCAGAGTGAATGGATGCACCTTCCTGGTGATGGCGGAGTGAACTCGGCGGCTGGTGCAGGCGGTGATGCTGGTTCGGCGGCGGAGATGCGCAACGGTGTGGGCGATCATGATGGATCCAACGATATGGCCGCCGCTGCCGAATCCTTGCTGTCGACACTGCACACGAATTGCGTGGAAATGAATCATCACAATCACAACCACAAGCACAACAGCCACCAGCAGAGTCAGGAGGGCCAGGACAACAACACCATTGTCACCGATCTGGACGGAAATGCGGTGTACGCCTCGAACAGTGCAAAGGATAAGGACAGTCGGAACGATCATGTGACTGTCATATTGCGGGAGCACGAGTCCTCTCATCATGGTCACAGTCATCGCCATGGTCACGTCCATTCGCCGCCAGAAACGCTTAGCGCTGTGGCTTGGATGATAATCATGGGCGATGGGCTTCATAATTTCACCGATGGCATGGCCATTGGCGCAGCCTTTGCCGAGAACATAGCAGGCGGTTTTTCCACCTCGTTAGCTGTCTTCTGTCATGAGTTGCCACACGAGCTGGGTGACTTTGCCATTTTGATGAAGGCTGGCATGTCGGTGAAGTCGGCCGTCTACTACAACCTGTTGACGGGAGTCCTGAGCTTTATAGGTATGATTTTCGGCATTGCCTTTGGCCGATCGCAGGATGTGGCTCAATGGATGTTTGCTGTTGCGGCTGGTCTGTTTATCTACATTGCCCTAGTCGATATGGTAAGTTTTTATCTATTAGCTAATTTTGTAAAACTATTAAATAAACTATGATTTATTGCAGATGCCCGAGATCTCGGCCTCGCACAAATCGCTGGGACAGTTCCTGCTGCAGATACTCGGGATGTTGAGCGGAGTGGGAATAATGCTGTTGATCGCCCTTTACGAGGGCGATCTGATGAGCGTGTTCGGCACGGATGGAGGTTCATCTCACCAGCACGTTCATTAATCACATAACTGAAATTGAAACCAACCGCAGCGAATCTTGTAGCGTATTATGTGAATTGCAGCGAATATTGTGTATTAACTGCATTTTTCCATCAGGCATATAGGACCTCTTGAATTATTATTTTCTTTATAATTTGATTAGATTGTTGTTTACCTTAGTCCCGCAGAGTTACTTGAAACACAACCACATACACAGCCGGTTGGCGCTTATCAAACGCATTTGTTACCCAGTTTATGAAACACACAACCACACACCCACATAAGTGAAGCGATCCAGCAAACCCGTTTTATTTTCGTTCCTAATTTTGCTTATGAGATGCGTTCGCATCGATTTCAAACCCGACTAAAATGTAAGATGTCTTCAAATTGCCTAGGTTAAATAGTGATCCTGAATTTAGTGATTTTGAAAAAAAAAAAACAATTGAAACGATAAATGAGAGAAGGAAATAACAGAAAAAGGATCGGATCTGGATCCCAAAATCCTGTAATTACTGATCTTATACACTGAAAGCAGAACCTAACAATTACGATATATATATATATTGTAGAATATGTATACATTCATATAGTTTTTGTATTTTGTAGTTTAGGGTGCGCACGTTTACTTTATGCGAGTTTAACATTCTTAACCCAGAATTAAGAAATGTCCACTGTTATGATTTCTGACAGTACTTAATGACTTAAACGCATATTATTTCCACTTTTGGAAATAAACAAAAACCATTTAAACTTAATTTATTATCGTATTTGTAATAAATGAAAAAGATTATTCAATTGCACGCTCATACATAATTTAGATTTTCGCTACCCCGTAGCGTCTTCGTTCAATTATGATTTTGTAATAAACCAAGCTAAAAAAACATTTTATTTTCTTATTGATTTGAGTTTTATTATTTCATTTATTGCGCACACAACTAACACGAAAGTGATTGTGATTCAAAATGAGTAACTAACATTTGTAAAATGGTGCGACTTGTGGCACGATCGCCCTTACTGACTATCCCACACACACCGAGCTGCACACGAAGCTATCACTTAAACTGAGCAACTAACAATATTTTATAAAGCCCACACTATGTGCTACTGAGGCAGTAAAACTTATATTAATTTTAGCTGTAAGCTCTACGAAAACTACAAACAGGAAACCAAAAAAAAAAACAAAATAAAGAATTAAACATATATACACACTGTGCTAAAGGAATTTTGGAGAAATGGATGTAATACTACTTTGGTGATATCACGCAAAAGGCAATTGAAAAACAACTAACGAAATAAATTTACAATAATGTATTGATAAACACATATATATGTAAGTCGTGTAAGTGTGCACCAGCACTTGCCGAAGGCGCGTATTTTGCTACATTTTTCTTTATTTTGTAAAGTAACGTAAACACTATTTAAATTTTCAAAATAAATGTTTTTCCACGTCAACATCATAGAATGTGAGATAGCGAGAGCTTTTGAATTGGGCGGGCACTGGAGCTATCGATAACAGCTGTAAGGATCTAAAGTGAAAAAGTACACATATGCCTCATATATTTTTAGGACACTAGTCTATAAATATAAATAAAAATCATTTTACTATAAACTATTGCACTGCAAAATAGATGTAAAGAATAGTTTACCAATGTTTTAGAACATGCCATCGTTTAACGGTGCCGGCTGCCTATCGATATCAACAGTGGCACCATCGACGCAATCCCACCACTAGTTGTCAAAATATAATTTCGAAGATGCGGCCCACTTTCCTGGCCATTTTGTGCTTCCTGGCGTGGAATCCCTGCTCCAAGGCGAACGGCAACCTAAGTCCTGGGTCCGTAGGCGTCCACCGTCGCTTTGAGTACAAATACTCATTCAAGCCGCCGTATTTGGCCCAGAAAGACGGCACCGTACCGTTTTGGGAGTATGGGGGAAGTGAGTACGAGTGGAAGACGCAGCTCCACGTCAGTTGTTTTGGCCCACTCGCTGCCGCTTTGCGACCGTGGGTGCGAGCGAGACGGTGCGAAGCGGCGAAGTGTACACGCAGGCACTTTGTTTGGATCTCGATTTGACCACGACTCCGGGTGTTTCTAAAGCCACAACTTGTTGCTTCTCATTTCAGATGCTATTGCCAGTTCGGAAAGTGTGCGCGTGGCACCATCGCTGCGCTCTCAAAAGGGTGCCATCTGGACAAAATCCCAGACAAATTTCGACTGGTGGGACGTGGAGATTGTGTTCCGTGTGACGGGTCGTGGCCGGATCGGAGCCGATGGTTTAGCCTTCTGGTACACCACGGAGAAGGGCGACTACAACGGACCGGTGTTTGGGTCATCCGACCGCTGGAACGGTCTAGCCATCATGTTCGATTCTTTCGACAATGACAACAAGCACAATAATCCATACATCAGTGCTGTGCTCAATGATGGCACCAAATTGTATGACCATGCCAACGATGGAACTACGCAACTCCTGAGTGGTTGTCTCAGGGATTTCCGTAACAAACCATTCCCCACTCGGGCGCGTATTGAATACTACAACAATGTGCTCACCGTGCTCATCCACAATGGAATGACCAACAACAACGATGACTACGAGCTGTGTCTGAGGGCCGATGGAGTTAATCTGCCTAAGAACGGTTACTTTGGCATCTCAGCCGCGACGGGAGGTCTGGCCGATGACCACGATGTGTTCCACTTCTTGACCACCTCGCTGCACGCCGCTGGACAAATTCAGGAGCAGCCCAAGGTGGATAACCAGGAAAAGCTGACCCAGGAGTACAAGGAGTACCAGGAGAAACTTGAGAAGCAAAAACAAGAATACAAAAAGGAGCATCCCGAAAAGGAGGACGAAGATTGGGAGGAGTTTTACGAATCAGAAAATCAGCGTGAGCTGCGTCAGATCTGGCAGGGACAAAGTCAAATAGCCGACCATCTGCGCGAGCTGTCCCGTAAAGTGGACGAGATTATTGGCCGCCAAGAGACCACGTTGTCGCTGGTCTCGCGCAATGCTGGCCAGGCTCCGCCACCGCCCGCCACTGGCGGAGTGGCTCAGCAACCGTTGCCCGTTGGCGCTGTGAGCAGGAGCGATGTAGATCTTTTACTCACTAATCAGAACCTGCTGCTTAGTTCCATCCGCGAGATACGCCAACTGGTTGGCGATATCAATGTGCGCACTGATAACATTCAAACAAATCAGAAGCACGCGCCAACAGCACAAATCCAATCCACCGGCTATGATGTGCAAACGCTCATCGCCGAGATGCGCGATGGCATGAACCAGGTCAAGCAGGGCATCACTCATGTGGGCCAGAGGTGAGAAATATGGTTAAGATTTAATTCTGTGTCTTTAGTTAGTCGTCATCGAAGTCAGCATATTATTTAATTAACTCGCTCGATTCGAATCTAACCTCGACCTAAGTTAATCGTTATCAGCTATATTTTAATATTATTTATGATGTTTGGTTTAACTGAGATTAACATAGTATAGAACAAAAAGTTGACAAATACGTCCTTAATTAGATTAAATTTGATTTTTGGTCGATCTAAGACAACCCTTTACGGAAATGACAGCTCATAATATGATCTAGAAAAGGTATCAAAAAAGATTTCGAAATGTAACCGACCGATATGTAGAATTTTAATGCTTAAATGAGTTTTAAGTTAATAGTAGAGGACCGGGATATAACTTCATATATCTATACTAAAAAGATATTTTCCTTCTTACAGATTGGGAGCGCCCCAAGGAGCAGCGCAAGTGGCCAATTGTCCCACGGGCAACTGCGTTGGAGTCACATTGTTCCTAAGCGTAACTGTTGTGCAATTGCTGCTAGTCTTCATCTACAACGTCTTCAAGTGAGTGTTTGTGAATCTTAGAACTTTGATCCAGAACTATTAAATTTTCACAACTATTTTTTACAGAAATCGCAGCGAAGCACAGGCGAAAAAGTTCTATTAGGCAAGATCGCGACTCATTGGGATCGTAACGAGTAACAAACACACAAGCATACACCCACACAAAACACGAGGAAACACATTCGCACACCTGACTAGGCGGCAACTAAATTTAGTTAAAATGAAAGATTTAAGACTTCTGCATAGCATGTTCTACCATTACGTGTAACTGTTTGTTTTTTATATAGAAGTCTGTATGATAAGTCAGGTCCCGAATACAAATTGAAGTCGTTACTTAATCGAAGAAAGAACAAGAAATTTGAACAATGTAAAAGCCTCATGACAATGCCACGCAATACAAAACGAAGAAACCGTCGAAGAAGCCACAAGACAAACTTCCCTAATAATAGTCAGCACAAGATGTTTTTTAATTCGTTTAGCAAGTCAAGTCGAAAGTTCTACTCCATTTTCAACTCTGCATATCATGTGTGCAGGCATTTCTATAAAACAAAAGAAAATCAATCTACAAAAAAAAAAAAACATAAAAATCGTAAAAACTATAAATGTATGAAAATTCCGTAAACTTAGCTAATTTCTATATAAATCTACTTAAGAGTTGAACGGAGTCTCCTGAGCTCGGCTCTTTAAAACTGAATTGGCAACATAAATCTTTCTTTCCATTTTCATGCGCTACGAACTCAGCAAAGCGATTTAGACAGCTTTTTTGTTAACTAGCCTGAGAGTGAATTTATTTAATAATTACGATGATGGTACCGTCTCACTAAGTTTTTTGTTTCGTTCGCATATCACTGGTGCGATGTAAGGAAGTTTTCTACTGAATAATCTTAATATAAATACTGATAAATTATAAAACAATTGAAGTGAAGTGTGTTTTTATATATGTTGTCCATTCCAGTCTCGATAGAAATGTTTAAACTGAAAAATAAAAATCAATTTATAGAAAATGGTCGTACAAAAGTCTATCTTTAACTGTCCAACTTTATCACTTTACTGCTCTTTTTCCATTTTATTTTTATACTCCCCCTCAATGGCGATTTTATTTTCGTTGATATCCACAGAGGAAAAACTTTATTTCTCAAAAAGACCTCGTAAGCATAAACTAGAATCCCTGTCAGTTTCCAATCCTCATCCTCGCATCGATGACAATGCGGCAAAAATGGCGCCACTTGGTCGCCCCACAGTGTGTGGAGCTAGGGGATGTGGTGGAAGTTCTGGTGAACTTTTGGCCATAAAATGTAACTGCCATTGGTGGCATTGTGGGCAGGTTCGCTGTGGTTTGGGTTCCCCATCCCAACGCCTCTGAAAAAAAATAGAACCCAGGAAAACCCAGCCAAAGATAAATGGACAGAAGCCAACGGCAGTCGTGGTCCATGTTATAAATTCACTCAGGGATCGAGGAAGGGGTTACACTATTGGAGTCTCGCGAGTGGCAGCTCTGGTGTTTGGTTGGATGGTAGCTTCGGCTATGTACTCAGAGTCCTATGTACTGTCAGTGCGCAGGATCAGGACCAGTAGAAAACGAAACTGGAAGGGGAACTTGAACGGCTATTAACTTCTTTTAACAGCCAATCGGCTTGAGGCTGGCAAACAGAGAAAATGGTTTCGCTTTGTGAGGATTTTCCCAGCAGGGGTGAGGTTGGTGCACTGTAACAAAACTTACTTTATAGTATAAACTAAACTTAGTTCTAATTTAGTATATCCTGTCTTAGTTTTAAAATAAAGATCTTATCCTGCTTTCTTGTCTTGCAATTTGGAAGTTTAGTAAGAGTTTCCAGAAATGGTTTTTTAATGATAAAGTTGAAAGGTATTTATTAAATGGTTTAATGTTTATCGTAAATATATTTATCTACTAATTTGCACATTAAATTGGGAATAAGTTTAGATTGACATATTGCCGTATAGTTAATTTAGAATTTAGTATAATATAAACATGTAAACATTTTATCAAAAGTTTGCCTATAAAAATGTAAAATGCATTAAAAACCTAAGAGGAGATTGTATTCATTTCTGCTTAGAATTTTGTAATATATTTAAGACCCTTTACAGTAATTTATTACTTCTAATCCATTTAACCATCCAGATCATTGTGTTTTCCCCCGAATCAGATCAATATAATGTCAGATTTAAAAGGATGCCAAAAACTTTAATAATCCATATTGCATATTTACACATCTGTGGAATTTCAGAGCTCACCACAATCCATTAGTAAATGAAATTCATAAATCCCCTTCCGAATGTCCTTATTCCCTCCCTCCTCCCCCTTTCAATCAGCAAACCAACAAACGAGGACGACAGTTTGCAACATTTGCCAAACATTTGCGAAAAAAAGGGGATATAAAATCAAAGTCAAAGTAGTTACCATATAACGGGGTGGATCTATCTGGATGTATCGGTGCGATATATGTAGCTCTGGCTGTGTTGACAAATCCCCAGACCATGTCCTGTATTTTCTAGCCAGGAGAAGGAGCAGTGGCAGCGTGACAAATGTTGCGCAAACAAATGGATTACATTGCTGCGAGTCGCAGCTACCCAAATGCCTAACCATGAATCATAAATTTCCATAACTGTCATCCGATCTGGGCAGATTTCTTTGGCTCGTCAGTCGCCGAAGAAAGCAAATTGGCCGTCACCGGATTACGAACTTTGTTGCTAATCCCAAAATTGAATTTCGCTACGTAATTTGCTAATGACCCGAACAGAGCTTAAGGGGCCAAAGTTGAAATTGATACAGACTCATCTAATTATCATTTTAGACTTAAGAAGCGTTTTCTGTTTTCAATTTTGATTCATTCCGCAGAAAAATTAGTGAATTTTATTCATATTTCTGAAATTTGTATGCAGAATATTGGTCTTAAAGTTCTCAAGTTTTTTAACATGATCTAGTATAAAAAAGTAATCCAGTCTTTCTTAGTAAATTCATTTAAGTTCTAAGCCTTGCATAATAATATTATTTTATGTTCCCTTTCAATCCCAAATTAAAACCAAAGATACATCGCTTAGATATCATTCCATCTGCATTAGAACGAATTGAAAAATTTCCATAGGAAAATTGTCGCACTCAAAGTGCAAGAACAATGGGAAAACTGCTCTTCGGATGCTTAAATGTTTGTGCAACTGCTTTAGTTTCCCGATGCCATTAAGTCGCTGGTTGGCGGATGACAAAGGATAGTCCATTAGACACAAGTCACAATTCCATTGAAGCGAGCTGGCAAATGGAGTCCCATTGAAGTCCCCTCATCCTATTCACTGGCTTGCATCCTGCATTCCCCGAATCCCTGCCTGCACCCTTTGTTAATGTTTTTGCCAATGAAACCAGAACAAAAGTTGGGCCTGGATAATATTTTGCGCTTTTTGGTATGACGAATCCACATGTCACACACGAATCGAATGGCCAAAGTCAGCTCCTGCTCATGGAAAAACCCAGGGAAACCATACCCCCTACCCCTCATCCGTTTAGCGGGCAATCAAGCGTGTAGGGCAATTCAATAAGCCTGGGCCAATGGAGGTGGGGGTGCCACAAGTTTGGAGAACTTTATCAACACCCATGTCGGCATTAGTTTTGTTTACAAACTTTCCGTTGCCTTTTTGACAGTTCGCCGGGGTGGTGAACTGACTATTCCTTCCCTGCCCATTTCGAGCATTTTCCCATTCCGAACATTTCCCTGGGGTGGATTTTTGCGGGGATTTTTATTTATGAGCACTTAAATCGAAGCGCAAACTGAAATTGCACACTGCACACATCTACATAAATATGCAATTGCGGCCTTGTGAGAAAGTAGTCCCGCTGATAAATGATCAAAAAATTATAAATAAATACGGGATACATATCAGACCCTCCTTCTCCCTGTTTTTTTTTGCCCATCCCTCATGTTGCCATCACCCCATCTTAGTGCTTAGATGACAGTTCCCGATAATGGTGACATCAATTTGAAACTCAATTGAGCTTGTTCCCAGCTCCTTGATAAATGCTTTGCTATCAGCGCCGTTTATCGTCCTCCGGTTTTGACTGGGTGCGACAAGTCAACGATTTGGAAACGGAATCGGACAGACAACCTCCCCAAGGTAAGGGGTTCTATCTCTATGCTATCCTCATCTCAGCTTTCTCCTGCTCTTCTCAATCCCTGATCTCTGGGGCGTTGCAAGCAGTTTACATGTTTAATGCTTGCTTAATTGCTGCCTCAGCCAGCGGGGCAGATCCCTGAGCTCGGATAAGAAATCGTCTTCTAAAGAGTGATGTCAGTTGGACAAAAAATAAAGGAAAATGGTCCATCGGGGAAAATTAAGTGTAGACAATTAAGATGAAATGCATTCGTATTTTGGTAAGAAAATTCACTGATTAAAGATAAGAATTGTCCGGCTTTTTGACTATAACAATATATAGATATAGAAATATTTTATATTCTATGGAATAATTTTTTAAAGTTTATATTTTATATTGCCTTACGGTCTATAAGAAAGTGGATATTATGATAGGAATTATCCATTCTAGGGTATGTCAAAGGATGTTTCCGCATAAAAACACAACTAATTGATCTCAGATATTAAACAATTTTCAATTAAATTTAGTCAGTAAAACTTTTAATGCCTTGATATGTCAATAAGTGCCTTAACAAATGGAACTTTTAACAAGTTCATTGCCCCACACCTCCTCCACTTGACACCCTTGACTGTAAACTGAGTTCCAAATCCCGGATGCCTGGGACTCAAACTCAACCTCAACATGTCCATTAGGCCATGTCGGTGCATGGCATCGCCTGGATAAATAGACTGTTGAGTCATTAAACCATTTACGCAGCCATAAATTTACGCAATTTACTTAGTGCGCAAACACACATATCCTGCAGGATGCTGGATGTCCTGGACAGGGCAATAAAAAATACCCCTGTTCAGTGGATGGCGGTTCGAGAAACATTAACACATCTGGCCAGATACAAAGTGCGACGGGCCGTCCGCCTGAGCGATTAACTTTTTGCATCCTTCACACTTCGCTGGGCGAGTTAACCCGACATCATCATCTAACACAAGTCCTGGAGCACGGACATCACCCACGCGCCGCTTGTTTGCATTTTTATTGCCTCCACGCTCTGGGGATGCAGGATGTAGATTTTCAGGATTGCCGCCGCTGCTGGCTGACAATTTTAATGAAATCGTCATCAATTAAAATTTGCTCTCTTCCATGTCCATGCCTCCAGACGACAGTGACAATGACAATGACACGGCACAACCTCCATTTCCACTTTTGTTTTTCACTTAGAGAAAAAAAGTCATTGATTCTTGACATGATTTTGTGACTTGAACTGATCTAAGAAATGTTAGAAACCTATCTATGAATGCAAATTAACAAAGAATAGACAACAAGCTGGGTTACAAATCATCTTGGTAATATTAAGATAGATTTTTAACTGCTTACTGATAAAAAGGACTTTAATCTATAATGAATATCTTTAAATTTCTGTAAATTTAGTCAGATTTTCTTCCCGTGCAATCCTTAAAGTCATCCTCATCTTTTTACGACCGAGACATCCATCCAGGCACTTCAACGGGCTTAGTCCCCGGATCGGTTATGAGATTCTCCGGCGCATAACTCGCCGAACTCGTGCCTTGGGATCGGTCTCAGCTATAAAAATAATTTGTGGCCAAAATCTCCCCTCCTTCCATCTAGTTTCCATCCCAATCACGGATTCATCCAAGGGGTTTGAGACGAACGGCTGCCGGCAATTTGTAGTCGTTGGCTTGTTTTTCCAGCCTCGCCCTAATGGGTTTTCATAAATTTTTATTGTTCTCAATATAAGTTTTATTCTCGCCTCGTTTTTTTTTTGTAGTTTCCCGCATGCAAATGTAGTTTGAGTACTTCAAATTTGTGGAGAATTTGTTGGGCAATATTAAAACGAGTTTACGCATTTCCAAAACATTAAAGAAATTTGAGGAAAAGGACGGCTCGAGT